CCTCCGGGAAGGTAGGGAATTCTAGCTCCCCATCTCTTCCCCCTAACCTCCGCTTTGGTCTGTTTTAAAATAGTTGAATTATGCATATTTCCCTTAGCAGCAAAGGCGATGAATCGATGCGAGACGAACGCCTCATAGACTACAATTATTAACACTGCATCACGTATGAACGATCCTCGAAGCGACGGACGTACACATCCGTCCACAGCAACACAAAGGATTAAATCCAAATACGAACCTAATCCAAGAGCGGCGAAAAAGGCGGAAGCGCGCTCTCGCGATTCGTCCCCGTTCTGCTTGCATCGTCCACCGCATCTGCCAGACCGACGAACCCTTCCCAATCTGTGTAATGTTCCAGCAGCCATTTCCCCATGTGCCAACTCTTCGGACCGAACTGTCGATGGTCCACGTATCCCTTTGTCCCTTGCGTTAGAAACGCCTTGCACTCGAGAGAGTCACTCGGTCGCCTTTTCGGGTTCACTCGGCTTCCACCGAACGATCACTTTCAAGGCCAGAGGTCGACGGTAGGCGATGAAACTGTTCAACTACTCTCCATGAGGGTAATTCATATAATTTTTGAATTTCCTCGATCCGCAATCCAAAGAGAAATGGAATGAGTCGTATCTATGGCATCGTGGACGAATAATGCAGAACCTCATATGGATTTTGATATCTACACTCAAAAACCTCGCCCGTTTTCGACTTTCCTGAACAACAATCTCCTAACGAACGACGAAGCTCGGATTTCCCACAGCATAGGTCGACTGTAACTTGAGGAGAATGCCTCAAGCAAGATTTTTGAGCTGAGGTGATAGTTGATAAATGATGCCAAATGCTCTAGTTTTCATTTCGCCCTCATCGGCTCGCATGTGAATTTTCAGAAACTTTTTTGTAATAGCCCCTCCCCACGCCCTCCTTTTTTTTGCTTTCATTTACGTCAGGGGTGTCGAACTCAAATCGGTCGGCGGGCCACATTCCTTACCCTCAGATGCCTTCGGACCACGACCGTAATTTTTCGCCGAAATTTGTGCTAACAGCCAATGCAAGCGGAAGTTTCAAGAACAGACGGCGGACCGGATGAATCACCTCCGCGGGCCGGATGTTTGATACCCCTGATTTACGTCATTTCATCTTCCCCCCCCCCCCCCCTGCTTTCGTCAATATACCGAAGAAAGGAGATTTCTCCAAGATAGTCATTATTTCTTGGTTTGCCCTTTCTCCCCCCCCCCCCCCCCCCCTGCTTTCGTCAATATACCGAAGAAAGGAGATTTCTCCAAGATAGTCATTATTTCTTGGTTTGCCCTTTCCCTCCTTTGCAGACTTTGATTTCGATTGAAAGTTTCACCACTTTCCTTACTCAGATACGTACTTAATCATGTTTGGTCCCAACAGCGTTCGCACCATCACATTCATAAAAATTACTGAAGGAACATGACTGTTTACACTGCAAAGCGAAGCAGTTGCGGATGTGAGGGTGGGTGGGGGGAAGGACTGACCCCTATGCTATTTTAAAATGTTTAAAAATGAATGCCATTTCTTTTTGCAAACTTTTCAATTTCTTGTACTTTCTTTATATTTTAAAATAGGGCTTGTGAAACGAATCTCCAGGCATTGCCGCAGTTGGAAAATGAAAAAGACATACGGTCCCTTGTTCCACCTTCCCCCCCCCCCCCCCCCCCCCTCACCTACCTCCACCCTCGCCTTTTTCATTTTCGCATGGGACACAAACCTTGCCCCCCCCCCCCCCCCCCCCCCGCCCTCCTCTGGATCCGTCACTGGACAGAAGAAAGGAGGGGAAGGAAACCTGGGAAGCACACCCACTATATCTGCATCTGCCAAAGTTACGAAAGTTGCTCGTTGCTGAGCAGCAGCTATTTCAAGACAAAGTTGACGCTCGGCCCAAGGAAAGTGGTCCAACTCAATCGATGTACTTAGTATTACTTTGCTGCGGTGTCGGGTGCCAGGTTCGGATCCAGGCTAAGCTCATTCATATTGCCTTTTGCACAAGAATGTTCTCTACTTTTAATTAGAACTGGGACAAAACTATGAGATCTGCGATTCCATGCAGTTCTTTCTTGCACCTACCGGCCTTTGATAGTGTTCTGTCGCCGTCGCTGACGAAAGGCCCCTTCTGTGCATGGTGGACTTTTCTTTCCTTCACTGCGTTCGTCCTCATAATATTGATAGTTATTCACCTTGGAACGTTGCTCCCGAAAGTCTCGGGACCGTAGAGCTCCAACCACTCATTCATTTGTCACTAGAAGCGTTACTTTCGTTATTAATTGCACTTTTTGAAACGAAAACTAAGAAAACTCCGGCAGCATACAGTAACCCTCGATATGAAACTTGGAAGAGGTTGCTCCTTACCCCGTGGAATATCGGATCATAATGCTGAGAACGGGTTCCTCAGAATTTCAAGACTTAAAGTCTGGCTTAGAACTTGAGAGTTCGGACTGAGAATTGATAAGTGTAGATCTACCAATTGCAGACAAACTCTCACCGTTAACAAAAATGTCGCAAAAGGGGAATAAGAGGGAAAGTGGACGACAGGAAGTACTTTGGATCGAAGGAAATGAGCATTCACAAATGTAACGTGGTATGGATGTATTTACATACTCACCACTCTTCTGGCGAAGGTCTATTTATAAGTTACCAACTAGGTTAATAAGCTAAACCTTGCAAGCCAAATTCCTTCTCCAAGAATATGACTCGCAATTTTAAAAGATCTCAAGTCGGCGATGTCTCGTTGAACGAAGTCTGAGGAGCCAAAGATCTGATTGGAGACTAGAGTTATGGGGTGTAATCAATGAGGAGTATCCCTCGCTCCGGTGTCCTTGCCTTAAAAGTCGAAGGAGAAAATTATGCGAGATGAATCAGAGAAAAGAGATCCAGCTGCCCGAAAAAGGGCAGAAGCCCTTTTGAAGCTTTACCTCTCGCCTACTTGGATGAACTCTACTGCGAACTGGCGTCAAAGTTTGTAACTAATCAGGATGTGCCTTATAGGCAGATGTCGCTTACGGAGGCTTCATTCCTCGCCAATATGGCGCCATGCTCGCCACCATGTCGCCACAAACAACCTTGAATCCTGCTTAGGTCGACGTTAGTTCAGCCTCATCGGCCTTAGACCTTGTGTTAAGCGATCATGGGGAGGCAGTCTCACCTCCATCTTCTTCGTCTTCTACCTATTGTGGGCCTAGTGTTTCTACGAATCGGTAAGTCCGTTACTTGGAGTCTGGTTTGGAGATAACATACTTTAAAAGCTAGACCAACTAAGTTGACCTGTGTTTCTCCACAGTATCGAATTTATGCCAGGCCTACGTTTATGAAATAATCTCCGCTCTTGTTTTGTCTTCAGTGTTTAATCTCTGTATTATGCGATGATTGTATTTTATGTGAAGTAGATTGATAGCAATGCGTGATTCCTTGAGTTCACACTCTTCCACTAATTATGAAAATTGAAAATAATGCAGATCAAGTTATTTCATGGAACAACGCTGTAGGAAGTCTGTTGAAACCCTCTCATCTTTTTATTTCACAGATTGAGCTGGTTTTGCATGTATTACATTCACTCATCCAACCACTGAATCTACTATTTATATTAGCACAGACTTAATTTGGGACAATTGCTTTTTTTCCCTATATGCTTTGCAATAGTTGATGGAAGGACAACAGGAGAGCATATAGATGACTCACAATTGGAATGTGAGTATTACAATGAGTCTGAATGCAAGATGAGTGATGGAAAGAAGAGCTGCAATGGCACTGAGGTATGTCCCATGCCAGGGGCTGGAAAACGGTCCCATTGCTATGTTCTGTGGCAGAACTCAACAGGAAATCCTGAGGTGAAAATGAAGGTTAGTTCAATATTCTTTTCCTTATAAAAAAGCTTAAAATGCTAAAAGTACATTTCTCCCAATCTTTAATGCATTCTTATTGTTTGCTGTTTCAGGGTTGTTGGCTGGACAACGATGAGTGTTATGATCGATATGACTGCCAAGGGTACAGGATAAGAACCAATGATTTGGTTTTTTGTTGCTGTGAGGGAGAACTTTGTAATTCTGAGTTTTCATATAATCCTGATTCGGCACCAAATGAGGCCCTTCCCAGTAAAGGTAAGGTTCAACTTTGATAGGCCATGTTAAACAAGTTTTATAAATATCAAGGAGAGAAGCCTTTCTACTCAAATTTTGGGCTTCATAAACGTATTCAAGGTCCATTTTACTTTCAGAGGCAATTATTTGATCCTAATGGGATGGTCTTTTTTCCAGAGCCAAACACAACATATGCAGCTGGTCCAATGTCAACAACAACCACAATTGTCCTATATGGTGTGATTGGGCTAGCAGGAGTATTCTTCCTCCTTATAGGAGTATACTTTTTCTACCGCAGGCAGAAGGGACCGCTCTTTACATCTGTAAGTCTAGATTTTACCAAATTTTGCATGAATGTGGACAAATTTACTTCATCAAAAGGTTTTTTCAGAGTGTGTGCACTTAGTTTGGAATATCCTACATGGTTCTCATAACTGGATTGGATATAAGAACTGTTAGGCTTGCTGTTGTAAAATTAATTGTAAATGATGTATAACAAAAATGATGTAATTGTGTAAGGTACCTCATTGCTGAACTTACAGTTTTCCAGGATAAGTTTCTCTCTGCTTCTACTGAATAGAGGAATACTATTCTGAGCATATGCTGTAAGATTTCATGTGAAAATGCTTTAATGGCAAGGATACAATAAGAAAGTGGAAAATCACTGCTTAGGGAAAATGTTGCCCCTTTAAATGTGATAAGCAGTAGAGATTGACCAATATTGGAACTTACAGATTCCGTTATTGGCCAATATATGGAGCGGATAGCCGATACGATAGTGTCTGATATTTCAGTGTAAACAACACAATATTGAAGATTAAACAGGACAGCTTGGATATATTTAAAATTTGCCTTGAACTCACAATGAAGTTAGGCTGCAAAGCATAGGCCAAACCTAAGCCTCAGAATGAGGGTCTGCCTCTATGTGCCAGACCAGGAACATAAGCAGAGCGAAAGACCTTCAATTCCTCACCTCTCAAATAATGCTATTTTGGCTATATCACATGTTTCAGGCTTTCCATATGGGTGCAGAAAAGATAGTCCTAATCATATTTTCTCTTACTGTATAGATTGAACAGAACTCTACTTTTGATACTGGCAAAAAATTGGAAGGTTTGAAGAGTTGATGTGAATGCTTGCTGATATGCCCATGTCAGCCAATTTATACTGGCAACCGATATATTGGTCGATCTCTAGTAAGCAGTATTATTCCATTTCCTATGGCATCCACAGCTAATTTCAAATTTTTTAGAATGACTTTCTCTGTTTCACATTTAGTATTATTGTGAGGGAATTTTCTTTATCTAGAGATGTAGGAGACATATGATAGGCTAATTGATATTTATTTATATAGTGACATCATTTTGCTGATCAAGAAAGGTGCCTAGTGAAAGTTTCCAACTTAATTTATTATTATTATTATTATATCGTAGCCCTTGGCCTTAGCCAAAAAAAAGCCAGACTAGTTAGATCTGGAATTGATATGCTCATAATATTTGGTATGCTACCATTGGTCAAAATGTAGTCTATCCATCCTAGCAAGAATGTGTTGATTATTTGCTATTATTTGGTGACTCTCATCAACCTTCATCAACTTGAGAAGTTGATGGGATGGAGGGAGTAGACATTGTCTTGATAGCATCCCAAATCATGACTTGAGGTTCATAGTTTTGGCAGGATCTGGGTTTATAATAGCCTGAATGTGTCTGAATTGATGACATTAACAAGAGGAGTCACTCTGGGGGAAAATGTCTTTTAAAACTCCAGTGCAAGTGTTGAACTATGACCCTCAGGTCATAACTTGGGTCATGACTGGATGCACCCAGTTATTAAAGGGATTTACCTTCTCATGAGGTAAATGGGACTGTCCATGTTTGCAAGTTGCAGAGGAGATAATGTTTCAATGACATTGATCCAGAGATGATGAGAACTAAGAATAAGCAGTTGAAAGGACAATTTGTGGAGTAACTGGGTGATAACAATGGAATCATGGAACACTGAAAGCATTGTGGAACACTGAGAGACAGTCTAAAAATAATACTAATTTTATTGCTAAGAAAACAGTAAACTCAGGAAGCTTAAACTTTCATAGGAATTCATTGTCACACCTTGTAATCATCTATACTTGGTATTGTGAAGAATTGTGATGCATAGCACCAGGGTGCTATGCATCAAGGACTCTCTTGAGTTGACTAGGACTGTTTACATAGATCTATGTAAACAATAATGTATCTAAGATGCATGAATGACAACTATTTTTTATGAGTTGGTTGGTTATGAAATGCAGAGGGAAATAATCCCACTGATATAGTGGACAGTGGAATGGCAAGTCTGTACCTAGGCTAGTTCTATATTTAAAGTGGTCACTTTTAAAAATCCTTATCCATTGCACTCATTCTCTTTTGGCTGGATGAACTATATCTTGCCAGGTCTTATTATATTGGGTGGTGCAAAAAATTCCCCCTGTTTGGGGCTATAAAACCTATCATAGAAATCCAAGATTTGTCTATTTTTTGTATCTAAAAAGATGTGTTGGCTAGGCATGACCACGTCATTGAATGACATCACTATTGGGCAAGCAGCTGCGAGCGGAACATAGCGAACTATGAGAACGCTGAGCAGCTAAGCCTTAAAATGACATCATTGGATACTGGGGGCCTAGCAGAGCTGCCAGCAAAAAAGACATGCCCCATGTTTGAAATGGTTTCCCACATATATTTTGGAATGTGTGTAATGGCTTTACTATTATTATTAATACTATTATTATTTATTGTACACTGATACTTGGGTAAAATTTACCTCTTCCTTACAAAAAGGATGGTACTTGTATTGGTATTGCACTGCTTTTGCATGGGTTGAATGTGTATCAATACAAGCCACCTGAGACTTGCAGGTTTAGGAGAAATCTCCATGCTTCAACCATAAAAAAATTTGAAATTTGAATGCAGCTGCCAACAGATCCAAGCATGGGTTTGGCCAACCCACCATCTCCAATTTGCAGAGGAATGAGACCCATTCAGCTTCAAGAGATAAAGGCCAGAGGTCGTTTTGGTGCTGTCTGGATTGCCCTTTATAAAAACCACAATGTTGCTGTCAAAGTCTTCCCTCTCCAGGTATACAAAAATATGTGCTTTCATTATTTTCCTCTGATCACAAGGCCAGGGTTTTCAATGTTGGAAGTCATGTTTCCAGGACAAGGGATCATGGATGACAGAGCAAGAAGTTTACCAGCTGTCACAGATGTCCCATCAAAACATTTTGGAGTTCATTGGGGCTGAGAAGAGAGGAGAAGGTTTGCAGACTGAGTACTGGCTCATCACAGCATATTGTCAAAATGGATCCCTTTGTGACTTTCTCAAGGTCTGCCTTTGCTTTTTAAATTTATTATCCTTTGTTAGGGGGGGGAGGGTGACACACTTATTGATAATAAGTTGAAGTAATATCCAAGTTGCAGAGCTTATGGCTTCCCATCTAAAATGTTCCCTCTGAATTAGAACCATCAGCCAAGGAGAAGAGTAAGGACTAGGTCTGAAGACCATCCCTAACTTGGTAAATACTATTATAGGATTGGTGATGTGTGAAAGGTCATTTTTCACTTTAGAAGTATCACTGAAATGCAATTGCATGAAAGGGCTGGTGGGATATTGGGATGGCTATAGAAGACTTGAATGCTTGTTCTATCATAGGGCTACCTTTTTAATTATAAATATTGACTTTGATCATGATGCAAACACATGAATGCTATTTGATACTGTCAGGTGTGGCTTTTAGAGCCCTCCAGGAATCTAGGGATAATTTGTTAGAACTGGTAATGCAAGCTTTCCTTGTATGATCCATGCCTTGTCTTCCATAGTGGAAAAGGCAGAAAGATTAGATTATCTTTTGTAATGGAAATGGGACATTGGGCAAACCCTGAAGATAAGTTCCTCCTGACTACTGTTTTTTTTTTTGCTACACATTACATTTTGCTTGTTGATGGTTGTATCAGTTTGACTTTTTTCAGTTGAGTTTTTTTAAATTTCCACATGAGGTTTCTAGGAATTTCCTCACAAGGAATTCAAGATTTTCATTGCCACTTCAAGTTGTGACTCTGAAGGCCTATTTTCTCATGAAGTAAGGCCCATGGAATGAGAGGTAATTTACTGTTGGAATAGGGCTACTTAAGGAGTTCTTATTCCAAGAAGTAAACTTGGATTTGGCATCCAAAATATACTGCATAAATAATTAATCTTGGAGACAATATCACTCAAATCTCCAATTTTCTCCTATTCACGTTCCAGAAAAAAGTTGAGGAGTAAATGTTTTGTTATTGTAATTGTATGCAAAGAGTATAATCCTTCTCGATGAGCATGTCAGGACTAATTTAAATATGGGAGTATAGAGGGTTCAAAGAATAAAACCATGCCTCAAGTAGGCCTAGTTGTACTTGTTATTTAATGAACTGGCCCCTAGTGTTTTAGAGCTGTAACAAAGATGTTGCTAGTTTTGACAGGTAAACCTCACATGCTGAAATGATTGAAGTACTGATATGTCTCATGAATATTCTATAACTAATGACTGATTGTGAATACAGGGGAACACTGTGACATACTCGGAGCTGTGTCACATTACCAAGAGCATGATGGCTGGGCTGGCTCACTTACATGATGAGATCCCACCACTCAAGGGAGAAGGTTTTAAGCCCTCCATTGCCCACCGAGACTTCAAATCCAAGAATGTCCTCCTCAAATCAGATCTGACAGCCTGCATTGCTGACTTTGGACTTGCCCTCATCTTCTACCCCAACCGCAACATTGGGGATGTCCATGGACAGGTTAGCTACTTGCTTGTGTATAAGTAGGTTTTTTAAATACTGGTATATCATAGTTCACCTCCAATTCTTCATACTTCACAGTCTCACAGACTGGCCTCTGAAAAGAAATTGTTATTCTTGAAATTTCTAATTTAATCTGCCCATGTGGTGTCTCATGCAGGTATTGCATAAAAATGCTATTGTCATCTATCTTGATCCATCTATCTATTTATTTATCCATCCATCCATCCATCCATGCATTCAGTTCATGAGGCTGCCAATAGATCTTTCTCTGTGATGCATGCTAAATATTATTACCAAGGAGAAAATTAAATCCTGACTAACATGGTGCCACTTATATCTCCCTTATGGCTACGACTCATATACAATCCATATGCTATAGTATTTCTATCTCCTTTCTTCATGGGATGGGCTGTGGTGTTGGCAGCAAGGTGGAAAGGAATGACAGGTTAAAAAGACCTAGTTTTCAAAAAAAAAGTAATGGCTGGAGGTGAAGAAGAGAGAAAAGGGAAAGATGCTTAGGTTGGATTATTAGAAATTGCTTAAGGCAATTTAAGACAAAAAGGATGACCTATGGGGGCATATAATCATAGATGACTTGAATCAATCAGTCATGAAAGAAATGCATCAGGAAGTTGTAGGAAAGTCATTTCAGGACACGTTGAATGAGACTTTTTTTGTGCTGTCATCTCATTTCAGGTGGGGACAAGGCGATACATGGCTCCAGAGGTCCTGGAGGGGGCCATAAACTTCACTCGTGATGCATTCCTTCGCATCGACATGTATGCATGTGGACTTGTCCTTTGGGAGCTTCTCACACGCTGCTCCACTATTGAGGTTTGTTTCCATAGCAACTGATGCGATTCACATATTATTGTACTGTATTGTAATATTGACCCCTTTGTCATTGACACATATTGGTATGTTGAATTTTAGGGTCAGGTGATGGAGTATCAACTGCCATTTGAGGAGGAAGTGGGTCCACATCCCTCATTGGAAGAGATGCAGGATGCTGTTGTGACCCGCAAAATCCGACCCTCCATCCCCGACTCTGCTGCCCCCCACATGGTGAGTCTTCCTCAGCTGAATCAGTGAATTACAGACTAAAGATAAAGACTGCACCCTTTGGTATTATTAGTTTTGGGGTAAATATGGCATCCATAAAACCATTTGAAATTGCAGAAAATTGTTATGTCCAAAACCCCTGGAAATACAATCAGAAATGGTTTTCAAACAAAGTATTTTAAATAGAAAATATTAAATCCTCTTTGGAAAATATTTTCCAAATATTCTCTTGCAGTTGATGAAAATAATGAAAGTTCAGGTAAGGTAGGATATGTGAAGTTAATATTATGAATAGATATGATGTACACTTCTCCATATCATTTATTCTCTATCTTTCCTTCAGCACCAGGCTGACATGTTCTTTCTCAATTTATTAGGAGGGTTTAAAAGTCACCTTAATATGTGAATATTTCTGACGTTGTGACCCTGGGGACTGAGCAATCCCTTCTGCAAAGTTGCATAAAATTTACAAGCTCTTTGGATTACTATGTCCTGGTGCTACATATGGATAATTGAACATTTTCTATTACAATTGAAAGCTGTGATGTTGCTGTGCTAAAATAAGTTCTGTTATCTTTTCTTGGCAAAAAGTTAGCACTCCATTACAAGGAGAGAGTTGAAATTTTTTCATTTATTTTTATACCAACTTCATTGTTCTAACTTTTTGCTGCATGTGTTTTTTTTAGAACAAAATCTGTACTAATGTATGGCCAACCTCTTAATTCACTTGGCTGCACTTGGGAATTTAGAGAAATCTTTGCTCATGGAGTGAGTCGGGGCAGAATTCTAGTTGTGAAAAAAATGCTGATGTTTAGTGATGTGCCATAACTCTTTTGAATCAATAATTGGCTCTTCTCTCTGTTTCTTAAGTCTTATGATGATGTAAAAATGGCAAAATCTGCCCCCAATGATGGTAGTGGAGATGTTTCTTTCAAAAATGAAGTATAAGGTGAGATGAGATGGTGGAATTGTTTCTTGTTCATAGGGTCTCAGCATATTGGCTGAAACCATAGAGGAATGCTGGGATGCAGATGGCGAAGCAAGGATCTCAGCATCATGTGTTCTTGAGCGAATCCTCCAGATGATGCATCAACCCTCTGCCCCACCCCCACCTTACAATTCCACCAAGCCTGTCTAATCCAGGTGAGACTATTTCCTTTTGTTTCGCTCTGTTCTCACTGCCTTCCTTTTATCTTAATTTTTTTTATTTAATTGGTGTAACTCAGTGATGTACAACCTGCAGGTCACATGTGGTCTGTGGAAACCTTTTTTGTGGCCACTTGGATGCCTGTCTCTAAAAATCCATATTTATATACAACCTATTTTGACTTGTCAATTGACAGTTTGACCCTCTATGAGGGAAAGGTTATGCATCACTGATGCAAATCATCCATCATGTCTCTGCAACTCATATGCTATTGTTGCAAGTCAGTCAAAACTAATGGGTACAAGATCATTATAAATTAATGCAAAGTGATGAAAAATTAATGCTGTATTAGTGGTGATCCCAAAGTTTGATCCACAGTGATTTGTAGAACCTTGGCAGGGATTTTTTCCATTTTGCCAGATGATGTGGAGCTCTTTGACCTTAAAAAAACATCATTTGGCCATTTTTTATGTTACCAAGATATATTTTTTTTAATCAGATTTTTGAGCATGAAAACCTGCTTACATCAGTCTGGATTTACACCTCAGATCAAGTCCTGAATAAACAAGAGTTCCCTTTTAGCAAGTTCTGATTTGAGAACTGGAAAGAACCATACAAAAACTTTGCTTGAGAACAATGCAGCAAGTTCATTTCAAGCAAGTACTCTCTGATTAGGGCTTGCTGGAAAAAAGCTTCATTGATGAATTGACAAGGTTTAAGGTGTCAATTCAAAGTCAAGAGGTATTCCATAGTTTGATTACAAAGAATTTTTTCAAAAGTAAGGATCAAGTGCTGAAACTTCGTTTTGTTAAGTCCTTCAAGAATCCATGGGCTCCTTTGTGGGGAAAAAGCTCTTTAGCTTAAAGACCCCTTTATCTCCCCAAAGTGAAGTTTCTGAATTTGGACCTAATTTTTTTAAGTGGAACAAGTGGATGAAGCAGTGTGTGGATCTTAACACGTTGGCGACAATGCGTCCTGATGCCAGGATGCAGATTTTTTTTCAATGAATACCCTCTGGAACTGTTGAGAACGTTCCAGAAGATTATGATTTCGTAATTACTGCTAAAAATTCAACATTTAAAAAAAANTTACTGCTAAAAATTCAACATTTTAAAAAAACTCGGCAAAAAAAATGTTTTCTGGGACCATGCGTCCTGATGGCAGGACGCATTTTTTGACAAAAAAAATGTGCGTGGTCCCACGCGGCGGACAAGCAAAAATAGGCTGGTCGTCAACGTGTTAAGGGCCCCCCCCCCTTAAGATCCACACACTGCTGATGGGATGGGGTATGATGCTGGGATGTGAAGATATGAAGTTTGTAGATTTTGTTTATTGTAAAATAAAGTCACTCTCAAAACTTTTTGAATACTTCTCATAAATAAGTTGAAATGAGACTAGGACTAGATTATGCCTCAAGTATCTTGAGTATGGAAAAAATAGAGTAAAACAAGGTCTACATCAATATTCTTTCTGTAACTTGGATGCTGTACCTATGTGAACTTGAAGATTTCCATTTTGATATAGATTTTGTCCTCTTCAAGGGGTGCCTGGAAGCAGGCAGTCTATAAGCCAGTGTCCCCTTCTCTCCTGAATGAACATTATTGGAAGAAGCCTTCCCATAATTTTAATTTTTTTTCCTGGTGACTCATGCACCTTAACAGCCAGGTTTCCCTCATACATTGGTTCAAGTGAACAGATAGGTAGTGGACCCTTTTTTTGCAGATTGGACAATTTAATATGAATGCAATCTTGAGAGGTGTTGATGAAAATGCACTTTTATTTTCCAGCTTCACAGTGATGAAAATGAGGATCTGAACTCAAACAGTATATGCATTCTAAGCCATGATTTGCTCAGAATCAAAAAACAACAAGGGCAGCAAGTTCATCTTCTGTAGCAGTGAGCTTGATTCTTCAAACTGTTCTTTTCTGTCTCTCATCTTCCTGTGTTACATGTGATATGAGTGAAAACCAAGTGAGTGCCTTGTTTTGCTGATATTTCATGTGTTCTTTCAGTTGTTGTATTGTTGCAAATGTACAAAGAAGTATTTCGATCACAGTTATGCAGTCCACTTCTCAGAACATTCAGTGGAATCTAATGAGTGAAAGAAGAAAAATTCCCCACCCCAACCAGTCTGTCTTGTGTGAAAAGTTGCTTACTCTCTGCTCTACCTCGTCCCTTCCTTGCAAATAAACTGATTTCAGGGAGTGCCAAAGATGCCTTCAATACTCTTAATTTTCCTGTAGCAAATTCTGTACAACCTGTTCAAGAATTACTGGTTGAGTGAAAGCATTGATGATACACATTCTCTGTTTGGCATCCAAGGTAGTGGGAGCAGTGTCAACATGATCATTCATATCTGGTTGAAAGTGCAACTTCCATGCTTCCATGAGATCAAAAAAAGATGAAGTTGGAAGAGGAGACACTTTTGGGTCACAGCATTCATATTTTGACTCTGACTCATTGTCCCTGATTCTTGGTTCTGATGCTGCAATGGCCTTGAGGGAGCTTTCCACTAGGGACAGGACATCTGATTGACTCTCTCCCAACAGCTGATACTGGAACATTACAACCCCCACCCCAACAAATTAGTTTTTTTTTTGGGGTCCATGTTGAAAGAAACCAATTTCAACACAGCAATTATGCTTATCTTGGAATTAACTGACTTTTAAGTGCACTTGTAATAATGCATTTAAAAAAAGCCTCCCTTTCTTTCACAAGTGCATCATTTTGCGTCACAGCTAGGTTCCTTTTGGGACTATCCTACTGCAGTGGACCTATCCTTCAACATACCTCATTAGGGTATGTTGAGGGATAGGTCCACCTTCAACATACCTTTTCATTATACTTGGAACTGTACTGCCATCAAAAGGCATGTAGCCTTCAATGGACCTGAACATGCCCTGGTTGATGGATGTTTTCTTCAAACTTCAGTAATATTATTTGAGGAATTTTGATGTACCCAATACCCATACTGTACTTACCTCATTGGGATTGAGGAGGCACCTGACATCATGATTGGATGCATCATGGCAGAATCCCCGAATCACCGATGCCACCAAGGCTTCCTTCAGCCGGTCTCTGTTATCTGAAGCCTATGTGCAATGTTAATAATGTTCAATTGTCTCCTAGGATTATACTTGAGCATTAAATAGAAAACCTAGAACAAAGAAAACCTAGAACAAGACTAACCAGCTCAATCCAGGTGTTGACTGACACAGTGAAAGGGTCCAAGGCAATTACATAATGCCACCAGTGCTTGGGAACATAAAGGTTCATTCCTGGTTCCATGATGCAGAAGCGAGGCATCAAAGATGACAGATCCACCGATGTCACACATTCAAAGCCTCTGCTCAGGATTGCATAGAGATTGATTTCACTGTACACACTTGATTCCTCGTAGGGGATTCTCGTTGGACGAAGTTGCCTCGTGCATTCTGGTGGGAACAGTATCCACAGCTTTCTGCAATTCAGGACACCCTCAATGACTAAGATAAAAATCAGCTGTATAACAAACTTCAGTCAGTCTGAATCCTGAATAACATCCCTAGAAACTGAACTACTGCAAGAAACTCAGATACAGGCAGCCCTTAAACTAGATTATGCTTACAGACAGTGAAATATCCAAATAATCCCATTCCAAAAATAAAACCCAGAACTCCCTCAAACTTTTATAGTGAATAGGTATAGCCCTTTTCTTGCTCATTGCTTGGAGTTCTGTGCTGCAATTGTAGCAGTCTTTACCATTTGACAGCTCTCTTTGCCATCATTTATCACATATACAATACACAAGGACTATTGGAAGATTTTTATGCTAAATATGGAAGGCTGCTTCTCAACTCCTTCTTTTTTCAGGAATGGTACATTTGTCCAAAGAATCTGTGACTACAGCCAGTGGAGCAACCAGCCCAAAAGTTTGGGGGGTCTGAAGTTCACATGACCTGTCTCTCAAATGTCTCTGAATGCAAGGTGTTATCAAATCATCCAGAGATATATATAAGCAAAAATGTGATATGGTGCGAACAAAGAAAATGAAAAGGTGGAAACGGAATTTCAACACTAGATGAAAGTACATTTGATATCTGAAAAAGCTTAAAATTAACTAAATTAATTTTGGGATTCAGTCCAAATATCACTGCACAGATGTGCAACTGGAAATTCATTAACCTGTATGATTCATGCTTTTTATTTGAATGTGCAGAACGTTTCCTTGACAGTTTCACTTTACTAAAGTGAGTTGCTACATATCACTGGTGTGACCTTCACCTTTCACCTATCTTTGTGCCTCTCCAGCCTTGCTCTCAGGTCATTTGCTCATGATATCTTTCAGCATCCCCCACCCCCTGGGGAGAGGGGAGGATGGAGAAGTAGAGGGATACCATTATGAGCAGGGGTTTGGGGGAAGTTCAGACCCCTGATCCCCCCCTTGGTTGTGCCCCTGACTACAACTAATGATATCCTTCAGATGCTGAGAATTGACATCACAAGGAGTGCACCTCTGAAAAAGTCTCATCAAATTTTGCATAGACTTGAAAGATTTTGCAATATGCATTAGTGGGTGGATGGAAAAGTTTGCAAGAGAGGAGAAGTAGAAGGGAGCCAGCTGAGAGCAATGCCAATCAGTATTCCTATCTCAAGCAGACTGATGATATTGAAAATGACTGATGACTGAATCTCTCCTTTCAGGTCAATTTATGTTTCAGTCTCTTCATAAAAAGGAAAATGATTTTAATGCATTGACCACCACAGCAATGCAGGCCTATTGATTTTCCCATTCAGTGAGGTGCACAGGTGCGCCTCGTGGCGGTCAACCTGTTAAAAAAAATTGTATTTAATTGTCCAATGCATATATATTTTACATTGGTATTCACCTTAGCTTCAAGCATAGATTTCAGAGGATGGCACAATGGACCACTTGGATCACAAAAGACCTGAAGATATCAAGACAGTATTTGCACTTTCCAGTGGTTCTCTTGCCAAATGTTGGCTGTTGTGAGAGGTCTGCCAAAACTTGATTCCCTGAGAAATTCAGAAAGTGCAAATTCAAATTCTGTGAGTAGATCTAAACCTTCTACCTATTACTTCATTGCACATTAGGTGGCCTCATTATGCATATTATGAGAAGTATAGCTCTGTGCTATTCCCATCAGATGTCACCAGAAAACACAACTTTGATTATGATTGCAACCTTAGATACTGTGAGTCCTTGGACATTTTCGGTTGGAGATGACTACCTGCCATGGAGCTGGGCAACAAGATTAGACCCATAGGTATCATAGTGACCTGGACTATGAGATCCCTTTGACCCAATCCAGAGCACGCTTTCCTTCCCTGTCCTCTCAGGAAATCCTAAGTTCCTCCAGTTTATTGCCTGTTCAAGATAAGAAGAAAATCTACAAAAAGAGAGGGAAAAAGGAACAGATGAAGTCACTGAGTAGATGGAGTACCTGGAGGAGTTCCCCATTCTGAAGAAATTCTTCGTTCATATATTTATAGTCATAGTAGGCCCAGATGTCATTGTGGGTGGAACCCCCAAATAATTTCTTCCTTTTCCTTCCTTCAATCCAGTCTAGGAACTCTGTCAGGCTACAGTCTTGTGTCTCACATGCTCCTTCGAATACTTGCTTGGTAGGGTCCTGTTAATGATTGAAAAGTCCCACAGGTTGAGGATGAATTCTTAGGTATAGAAGTGCTATACCTTTCCCACCCTCTTGGCTGAATACAATGCCCATTCATATTCTCCCCAGAGATGCAGATGTAGAAATATCAGGCACATTCCATCCTCTCAATACTGGGAACATGCCCAATCACATTTTTCAGGTTTTCTTGCCATGGTTGCCAAGAGAGGAGAAGCTGATTTTAAATACTTTTTCTTTTTTTCTTTAACCATCTCCCATGAACTATAGGCATCTGGCAAACAATGCTACATCATCAGTTTGATACATAGAAGAGTATCAAATATTGGACAGTTTGGGTTATTGAGGTGCAATTTTATGTGCAAAAAATGAAATTATGCCATTTAGTAGTCAGTTCATGTAGCACGATGAGAGACTGGCAAACTGCACAGTCCAGCCATGATCCTGTATGCTTCCCTATCCTTCTGCTTGCCATTGAATGTCTGCTGGCTCTTCCTCTGAAGCAGACATCACTTCACATTTTGTCATATCAAATCATCAGTCATAACATTGCACTAGGGCAGTCCTGGCAGGACCCAGGAGTCCCGCATTTTCTTCGCAAGTTATAGGGCTAAATAGGAATGCACAACTTTGAAGTTGTGGTGGGATTCTGAGTCCCTGCTTATAGCAGTTTACCACATGTTTTCAAGATGATAGCATTCCACAGTAATTTAGAGCTGCTGTATTTCCTGTGGCCCCATCAGAAATGGTGTCAACATTTATATTTACTTCAGCCTAGAAATTTCTTTTCTTTTCCAGCCAATTTTTTCTAGGTTTTTGCAAGCTAGGTAATGGAAAGTAGTCCAGAAATACTGAGAATCATACGAAAAAATAAGGATGAGTACTAGCTGAACTAATTAAGTAGCATGATTTAATTAATTTAAATAATTGAAATAAATATTTAATTTTACTTGAGGAAACCATTTTAAAAGTACTTTTATGGTACATAAGCCTTGATGAAGCCCAAAAAGTAAATGACATTTTTTAATGCCTAGAACATAATTCAGGACTGAAAGGGTTAAAGCCCACAAAACCAGGTCTCCTCTTCTTCATGGCAGTTTAAAGCTCTATTTTGCAATCTCTATTATAAGACTTCTTCACTTTGCATGGAAGGAAGCATTTAATACAAACTGAATTTAAACAGTGGAAATGTGAAGTTGAGAATAGGAAAATGTAATGAAAAAGAGGGTTTTGCACTCTTTAGGTAAAGGCTTTCCCCCGCCTGAGAATTGCATTAATGAAAAAAACTATAAATCAACAGTTTGCAAAATTATGATCCAAATATTCCAAGACTGACCCTAAAGATTGATTCAAGTGAGGCATATCGAAATGCAAGCTTCTGGTCACCCAGAATCTGTTTCCACTTGTCCTGGTCCCAGTTGAGACATGGCCATGACTTGAGGAAGCCTTGAAACACCAGGGGTTCCTGTATCCTTTCCTTGAGAATTGCATCTCTTAGGTCTTTCTCCATACTCATGCTCAATTCCAAGATCTGTGAGCATTAATGATTTAATAAATTCCTGCTCTCAACATACATGTTAACCTCCTTAGTGTTATCCCAAGACAGTTTCGGGGTGAAGATTAAGGTTACCATATTTTGGACAGCTAAAAAGAGGATGCCCAACAGTTAGACAGAAATTTGAAATTGAAAAAGGAGGACATGTCTGGGAAAAACTGGACATATGATAACCCTAGGGTAGAGTCCTGCCATCAGGCAATAAAGGAAGACCATTCTTAGAGTATGGTTTGAACTTATTCTCATATTTTTGTCAGAATTTGTTGAGCAATACCATCAGCAATAATTTAAAAGAAGTCTCTCAATTAGAACATTCTCAATGTTTAACTTATTTTCAATAATTGCTGATGGCATTGCTTCAGCTCAACTAATTCTGACTAAATTTTGACAATATATTGGAAACATTTATGTATGCATAGTGAAAGTTTCACAAAAATTGCTCCACTAAGAGTGGAGATATTGTGGTTAAATATTGTCAAGTTTTTTTTGCCATACCCTGAATTATATGTACAACAAATTTCCAGCTAGGTAAATTAAACATTTTCCACTATGGTTAAGTAAGCATTGTATACATGTGTGTCCTGAAAGACAACTTTGGCCATAGAAAACTTTGCAAGACAAGAAAGACATTGGCAAGAGAAAGAGCACTGGAGTGAAAACAATAAAGTATGAAAAAGAGCACTAAGGAAGTTAATATTGTAGAATATTATATCATAGAGCATAATAGGAAATAAGGGAGTACTGTTCATACAGAATCAGCTGCAGCAGCTGAATCCCAGCAGAAAATCTGCACTTAAATTCTTGAAGAATGGGACACATTGAAAGCCAGAAGAATTTCTCATTTCCATGTGAAAGTGATGAGTTGAAACTAAAAAAACTTTTCATTCAATTTTGTAGCTTCCAGTTCCATATTCCCTTCTTAGCTGTGTTGCATTGAAATGAACATTGAAAATAAAAAGGAGTGATTTAATTGAACCCCAACTTTATTGCAAGGGATGGTGTAAACCAAGACAGGAAAAAATACTGGTCTGCACTGGATTCATCATCATCCAGTCACACTGTACAGGATTCAGGGGTGTATCACACCAAGGACGGAATGGATTTGGTGCATGGAAAGATCACCTTCCAGAGCATTTCACAGACTAGATTGATATACATGAATTGTTTCCTATAGGTTAAAAATTTGAGAAAATCCACCAGCAAAAAAAAAGCACTATTTGTATGTCAGCAATTCAATGCCATTGATGAATTGAATACCTAGGGCATCACGTTCAAAATTCTTAGGCCAAGATTGGCTCATCAGTTCCATACAATTCCTTTTTTTTAGAGAAAATTTTATGTATTTACAGCAAGAAGTGTAAAATATGTTCCACAATTAGAAATTTTCTTTATCATGTCAGGTACTCTCTTTTCATTCGGTGAGATCCTTGTGGGTCACTAGATTCACTGGCTCTAACATCATGATGCAGAGAACTGCAGTCTTGCACATCAACTTGAGGGCACATGATACAACTAAAAAAAATAATTTAATAATCACAACAGATGAATCACATCAATTGAGATGACTAGTTCTGTGAGAAAGCAAAGCTTCAAGAAGCCAGATCAACAATAAAAATATCCAACAAAAATCAATTTAACAGTACTGAAAAAGTCTACAAAATGGCTCAACAAAGAGATTGAGAGAGTGAATACAGAAGAGTTACCTAATAGAGCAAATTTATGTGGAGAAAAAAAGTAACTCATGACTCCCTTTGGTGCAGTCTGAATCTCTCTGCATCCAACAACAATATCTACAGTAGGTTCAACACAACAACATCGACAGTTATTGTCACCAGGCCGAATAACAGCAAGAGAGAATAGATAATACTCGGAGAGTGAGCAGAATTGAAAAAGAGGGAGGTCACTTGGTGGAACTAATGCCTTGGAGCATCTTATGTATACGCTCCTCATTTCGGAGGATCTTGGACTTCACAGCTCCAATCTTGTCCAACTGATCCTCAATTCCCTGCTCCAATTCTGCCAGAAATCCTCTCAATGGCTCCAGTGACCCCTCTGTTGTCCTGCATCATCAATACAACACATAAAATCAAACTTCCAAGCATTGTGATTTACTTGCTCAATCCAGAAGGTCAATTAATTGATTTTGCTTCATCTTTCCTCCAAATGAATAGTTAAAACATTCACCACAAAACTTCTTGTATCTGTCTGAACTCACGCTTGCTCTCGGTTAAGATCCAATGAGAGTCGCTGGTATTCATCTGTCCATTGCTTGAGTTCCCGTGTCATTGAGTCTAGATCCTCTTGGATGAAATCCATTAGTTTCCCAAGGGGATTTGCTTGACGTGTGAGGTTTTGAATGGATGCCCTCAGACCAGTCACTTCTTTCATCACCATCTCTCGTTCCCGACGGCGATTTGTGTCACTATATTCATCACGCTCCTTCAAGTTTTAGAGTAAAATAAAAAAACAAAGACCTGATGATCAATCCACTATAAAGGCAAACTTAATATTAACTTGACTGTGGCTGAATTGCCTACAATTTCAATGTGGGCTTTGTCATTAGTGGGTGCTTCAAGTTCACTCTTGGCATGAAGTATCTCAGAGACTAGGACACCATGCTGCCCATCTTCTATACCTTCCAACTCCTGGGTCCTCTCCAGCTGTCAAACATCATAGATATTGATTTCATTAATTCAAGTAATTCCAAGAAGTGTCAACTATTTACAAAATGTGCATGCAATGGGAGATCTAATTGTTGTCAATTTTTTTATAGCTCAAAATAAAATGTCTGGATGAAAAGGGCTAACAAGACAGAGCCATATTGGTAATATGAAATAAACCCATCCACCTTCACATTTGGGAAAAAAATTATTCTTCACTGTCCCCTGAGATAGTGGAAACTAAAGACCTCACAGTGCATAATGGAATATGGGTCATATATTCTGAAAAGAAAGGAAGCTGCAATTATCGTGCTCAATGGATTGATTGTACTTGAATGCAAATGCTTGTTGAAATAAAAATGATGTTTTGCTGAAATAAACGAAGGGCATATGGAACTCCATGGTTTTGATGCACAATTGCAAGCCAAAATCCCTAACCTAGTTAGTCAGAACCTTTCAATACCATATAAATCCCTTGTGCCTACATACAGTGGTTATTTTTACTTCACAAGAGTGTCATGCATGCATCAAATCTCTTTAACCCTTTCCAGCCTAATGACTCCATATGGCATCATAGTTATTCTAGTACTTTTTAAAGTAGGTTACTTATAATTTATTTTGAAATTTCATTCCAAAATTTTTTTCTATGAAAAACAAAATCAATTGGGGCTGGAAAGGGAAAGATGTCAAATGTGAATAGGAATTTAGAGAATGGTCACCCAAGGAAATTATACTACCATCAACTGGAAATAAGCTGAAGAAGAAATAGTGACCCTTACATTGATGAATTCAGGAAATCAGTTACAGGGCCTATCAATTACATCCATGCAAGAACAGAGTAAATACAGAGGCTTAATGAATATTATGAAAGGACACCTTCATACCACATCTAAAAAAAAACATGCATCATTATTAGATAAATGAGGTCAAGCTGTCAATGTGGAAAAGGTTGATAAGCTGATAGCATGATTATGGTGAAAGCATACACAAATACTGACAAGATCATCAGGGGCTGGAGTCTCCTGAACAACAAAAGCATCATCATCGTCATCCATTGCACTGGCTCCACTCTTGTTGGTGTCCAGGATGACATTAGCCACTTTCCCAGTCTGGGGACGGTGGATTTCTCCACCTATGTTTTCTTCGTCTCCACTGCGGGATATAGCACTCTTTTCTCTGATACGGGGTGGGGCTGGCCTGGCACTAGGAGGGCGTGCTGTTCGACGCCCTCCACTTGTCATTGGTCTCCCTTTCCCTGTCACTGGTCGACCTTCATGAAAAAAGGCAGTCATGCTGATATTTTTCCTAATTCTGCTTGTCTCATCCCAAAATGAACAGCAAGCAAAGACAAAGCAATTGCCACAAAAGTTGGCAAATGCTGTAACTCTTGGAGTTGGGCTGCCAGTTTGATCAAATTAACTGATTGATCAATTAGTTAGCAATTTCTTATCATTTTTACAAATTGATAAGAAGTTACTAATTTTGAGTAAGCTCTCAAATCTCCCCTCTACAGGATGCTACCTCAGCTGAGTGATGAATGCTGCTCTTCATATGCTTAAGTGGAGTACAAAAACTGAAATATAACTTAGTTGTACTAAATTATCCACTGTATGTCTTGTAAAGTCTAAGAATTTAGGAAGGGGAACCAAAACATAATTCATGGTCAGTGGCAGTCCATGTCAGCTCCTTTGCACCAATGACTTTGCCTACATGAGAGAAAAATTTACAACACAGGTAAATGTGCTACCTTTATCAATAGGTAGCAGAATTTGGCCCTTCTTTTCAAAAGAAGGGTCAAAAAAGACTGAAAAAGATCAAGTCTCAAAAACTGCATAATGATCATCTCCAAGAAATTCAGAGGAAAGCATAAACAGTATGGGATGACCTTGCAGGTACAAAAACCAGTACTCACTCATGCCAGTAGTAGGCCTGGCAAAAGAATGCTCCGGTAATGCTGCAGCAGTTGGAAGTGGGGATCCACTTGCAGCTGAAGTTCCAGGTCGAGGAGATGCAGCGGGGGAATACTGACCCGGTGGGGACAAGCCCTGCTCCCGTTCCATCCCATATCCCATGGATTCAGCTGAGGAGCTCTTGCTTGCAATCCCACTGTCCATGACAGGAGAGCTTCGACCGATATCCAGGGACATCCCTTCAAGGGTAAATGCCATGAATATGTGGGTTCCCAATTAATTATCTTATGAAATGAATAGGATGAGTTGAACTCATCTTATTCAGATATAAAGTATACTGTACTGTACAATATATAGCAAAAGCTTCTCCTCAATGCAGGTTTGGTGATAAATGTGGAAGTAAGAGTGACTTTAAAGCCATGCTTTTGTCCCAATAAAAATGATTGTGCTTCTGTGGAAATACTGAAAGAAAAGACTGCATTTGAATGGCATGGGCACAAGCCAAATTGAGATTATATCAAATAAGAAAGGGGCACACAGAAAAAAATGCTATCAAGACACTTCTGCTGCTAGGGTTCAAATCTGTTAGGAAAGAGAAGGAATAGAGCAAGATGGGTAATGGTATAAGGAAGATTATAGTTCAAATTCAAATGAGGGATAAAACATTTGTTTTCACTTTATACACAGGAGACAAAAAAATGTCAGGTCAGTTTTCTAGGAGATTCAAGTTGCATACAGGCTTCTGGGAGCAATTTTTAAAAAGAAAAGATTTTGTTTCCTATTGGTCAGATTATTTAATATCATGTACAACAAAATCAATCTGGTTTCAGAAACTTTCAGATCATTGAAATCATGGGAAGTACATGACAATGAATAGGCAATTTCTGTTTCCATGTGACATTCTATGCTCTTCTGATGATGCTCTGAATGGTCTTCAGAAGCACTGCTTGGGGAAAGTTAGCCAACTTCTCTCCCTATCTTTTGTTGCAACTGCCTCAAGATTGTGTGGACCCTAGAGGCAAGCCAATTCTGCCAGAGCCCCAGAGAAAAATAATCCTGTAGACATGGCAGGAGAGAGTGGGGCCATGCTTGAGGACCATAAAAGGAGGTAACATAGCCTTGAATGACATGCTCCATAAGGTTCACAGTAGCTCTTATTGTCCCAAAAAAGACACCCTCATAGGATTCACTGAAGTTTTTTTTTACCCCCCTATAATTCAATCTCCACCCCCATTTTTCATTGCCCAACCATCCAAGGAAAAATATGCTAATAAATTCTATCAAATACCAGGCATTATGCCTAAAGTCTATTTGCTCCCTTTTCCCTCAGTGAACATGTTTGCTGTTATTGAATCCAAAACTACATAGAAGAAAAAAGAGGCAGGAAGCAAAAATAGTGAATTGCTTAGTCATCATAATATAACCATTAGAAAACACCTGCAGGTTTGAAATACTTAACCTTGTTCCCTCAACGTGCTCATATGTGCAAAGTAAAATTGGGACTACTAAAATATTTATTTTGTTTAATAAATAGAACATGAGGTTTTCAAAATGTAACAAGTCTCCTTCATGATGATATGAACATAAAAAATAACTTCCACTGAGGCATTGAAAAATCCATTGAGTTTCCCCATTGATGAAATGTGGAGAAGGAAAGTACAAGGTTCTGCCAACAATAGAGCTTTCTTTTTCTGAATTTGCAAGTGCATGTCCAAAAGTGCAAGATGATGGTGAATGCATAAAAGATGCACAAATTGGTATCAGTTCACATAACAAATATTATACTGAAAGTTTTCTCAAATCCATAAACCAAAATGAAAGTGGTCTTTTCATAGCAGAATGGAAAAATCTTCCTTCTAGCCTGTGAAGACATAATTTGCAGACCAAGTGTATGCATGTCCTGTGCATGTGACAATTGTGATCGTCAATAAACCTGATTCACACATCCCCCCAGTGAGATTCAGATCTCAGGCATGGTGCATTGGTCTAGCTCAGTGGTATTCCTTGGAAAGGCACTAACAGTACCTTGATCAGCATGTAGGTCAAGATGAGAATCGAGCCTTGAACTGCGACCACCAAAGAAACCATCATCAATGGGTTCACGAGAAGTGGAGGGCCTTGGTTCCTGGTTCATTGGAGATGGTCCTGCATTTTCTGGCTCGCTTTCCTTCATTGTAACTTCGTGTTCGAGATCAGGCTCTCCTGTGTTCCCGATCAGAGTGTTAATAACAGTATTGGTGACTATGTCCATTGGATAGCGCACAATATCATGCAAGGATGTGTCCAAGCTAGGCAGAACTAAGACAGTGGATGTCTGCTGAGTGCAAAGTTAAGTTAGTGAGTGACAAGTCCAAAGTGATTATATGGAATGGATGCTGAATAAAAAGCTCTGTCATGGAAAGTTTCGAGTGCACATATGTGCTCAATGACAAGAGGCATCTAGCACCAAGAAGAGACTGATACCTGTAGATGGGTTTGATTGGGCATTAACAACAGACGTGAGAACCTCACTCTCATCAAAGAACCCATAATTTGGTTTCATAGTCTCAGGGCTGTTCTGCATCTCAAGGGGCGGTTGAGGCTCCAGTGCCTCGTGTTCAATGTTCACACCATTCTCAACTGCATGTAAAATTTATGTACTTGTACTGATGATATAGGAGGGATAGTGAAAATGTAGAAATTCTCAATGTATACACCCCTCCACTTGGAACTACTTGGTAATCCTAAATCATAGGCACTTGCATGTGAGTCAAAAATAAATAATTACAGGCCAATATCTCAACTTGACTGACCTGCATGTGACTCAGGCATAGAACCATGCAGGAAATCTTGCTCAGCAGCAGCACCCTGGAAAAGGCAGCAGGATAATCAATAAGAATAAGAAGAAATGAAAAGGTCACCATTGAAAATTAAGAGAGTATGTACCTGAAATGCAAAGCCATCTTCTTCTCCATTTTGCAAAGTGTGCACTCCCTCTGCCATGTGGTCTTCTAAATTCCCAATGAGGACAGGCACAGGTCGATCCTGGCTTGCCTCTTTGAGCGGAGACCGTTTCCCTCTCCCACCCACACTTGCCCTGATCACATGTAAATGCTCACTTGATGTGTGTTTTGAAAGAAAAGAGGAAGGCACAAATGCACAAACCTCATTTTATGGAGATGAAGGGGCCTTAAACTAGAGTTTTTTCTTTTTCCCCCCCCCCCCCTTTCTAATAGGAGTCAATGGATTCTTGAACGCGGACAATTAACTAAAGGAGGTTTCAGCACTCGGGGCTAAGACTTTCACAGGAGAATTACCTTGGTCGGGCATCCTTTCCTTCCACTCTTGAGGACTGAGCATTCTCTTTGCTACGAGTTGTGGTTCGCTTTTTCTCTGTGACTGAAGTTCCTTTCCCTTTTCCTGTATCTGTTCCTCTTTTCCCTTTTTCCTGCATTGGATGAGTCAAAAACATTTTTATTCTATCACTATAAATGATCTGGGTCACTTGAACAACTTCCAGTTTTCAGAAATTCAGTAGCCATAAAAAAAAACCTAGCCCTACCTCCTTGGCAGGTGCCTTCTTGATTCCATCCTCTGACTTCTTCTCTTCTGCCTTTTTCTTCTCTCCAGTTGCTTTCTTATGGCCAACTTTTGGAGGCTTTTCACCAGCAAGCACACGTTGAACAGCAGTGGTGCTATCCATCTGAGAAAGAGCAGCACTAAATTATTCTTAGTTTCAAACATTCCAATTCTCGTATCAGACTGACAGTTTCAGCCTTTCAAAGACAAGTCAATTTTTCTATACAATAATACTGCACAACTGGAAACATACATTGTTGTTAAGTGCCTTGGCAATAGCCTGCAGGAACTCGTTTGTCTTCTCAGGCTCATGACCAGCCACAACTTTTGAGGGTTTCACAGCCAAAGGCTCACCAGTCACCATCACTGAGTTGTGCAAAAGTTCAGTTTCAACATTCATGTTGTCTCTGTGAAACTGTTTTATGCAATAATTTAGTTCTAATGGACTCACGGACGGCGTTAATAACCTTCTCCAGGAAGGCCACCTTGCTGTCCTTGTCTTTAACATTGTTAGAGTCCAGCTCATGCTCTGTGAAGAGCCCATCGAGGAATCCCGTCTCCCTAATAACCTGCGAGAAATTAAAAATGTTAGGAGAAAGGAGATGGGAGTGGTCAGACCTATACGATGTATATTCAGCACTTTATAAATAATAAAAAGGTCTATCGAAAAGATGAGGGAAGAAGTTCCCAAGAACTTCGGCCTCGGAATATACATTAGGAGGAAGAAAGGCAGCCTGAAATGGATGATATTCGCTTTTCAAACTCACGGCGTGAATAACATCGTGCAAGAACCGGAACGGTGGTTTCTTCAACAACTTTTCTGTGAGAGGGGGTTTTTTCACGAACTTCCCCAGTGATTCCTGGGTCCTCTTAATCACTTTCGGGTCCGGTTCCCCCATGCTGTCAGCTCACAATCGATGCATTTCGGAGTAAAACACCAAGCATCGTGATTCATTCATGGGAACTGTGGCTGGAATGGATCAGTCACTCGACTGCGCATCAATGATGCGGCCATATTTTGACAATAACCACGTGACGAGAAAGCGCTCGCGCCATTGGTCTGTTATCCTCACCCCTCCCCCTTGCCGTCATCCTCTCGTGTGTCACCGCCCCCGTCTGGTTTGCCTCAATGCACGACGTCAAAAACAAAAACAAGGGAGCCTGGCTTCTTTAGCGACTTGTGTTGATTCACCCACCCGTGCCCGAGGCTCTTTGCATGCTTGTTGGCGAAGGCTGATATACGCAGATACATATGCAAAGCCCTGTCTTTAATGGAGTCGTAGCTCGAGCAGGTCCAGGGGTATCCACCTGTGCTCCTGATCCTGCTGAGAGCTTATAGGCTTCAAGATTAATTCATATGCTCCTGTTGGGCTTAGGCCAAGATTTCCAACTTTCTCGGGATAACTGTGGCTCTCCTTGGTGATTTCAATATCGACTAGGCAAGTACCCTCAGTGAACAGCTACACAATAATGCAGTAACAATGAATTCTTAGGCTTCTCTCTTATCAGTGACTTCACCAAACCAAAATCTCAGGACCTTGCAGAAGGGGATTTGCTAGATCTCATCTCTGCAACAAATCCTTGCATCCTTAGCATCCATACTGGCCCTCCACTGCTAGATTCAGATTACCTTGCTGTGACCTTCACTCTGATGATTAGAAGGAAGAATAACTATGTCATGATGTATGCCCATTGCGTCCTTACTGATTGCAAGCATACAGGATTCCGCTGTCATTAGAAATTGCAAGTGTACAGGATTCCGCTGTCATTAGAGAATGGTATGAGCTTAGTCCTATCTCAAGTAAAGTGGTGAGTGTAGACAAGAAATAGAAGCAGGGTATCAGTTAAAGGCCACCTCAAAAAACCTGAAAACTTACTCTGGGTTGCCTGGATTGGTTCATTAATTGTTTAGAGCTTTCCTTTCAATATTTTAGCTTTTAATTTTGCATCAAGTATTCTCTGAGATGCATTAACTCATGTTCAGAGGGCAAGGAGTTTTGAGCATTAAGCAATTACACTTATAGATGAAACTCTTCACCTTACTTCCTTTGCATTGACCAAGGCATGTGACAGGCCAATACAGGTAGACCTAGGTAAGCAGCTGATACTGCTGGGCAATGGCATAGAAAGGGTTTCATTTGGTGGGGGCTTTTGCCCATAAAAATTAAAACCTGGAAAGGAAACTAAGCTTTTAGATCTAGGTTGAATATGAAATATTTTGACTTGCTTTGATAAAAAGTTTTTAACACAACTTACCCTTTATATCTTTAAAATTAAGCTGGCTTTCTCTCTGCTTCAGCAAAGTACCAATCAAAGGAACACATTCCTTTTCCCTGGAATGACAGTGACCAGGTGCTTATACCTTGGATACTGACCCTTATCCATATTTTTGTTGGGAAAGTGGGTGTTAAGGGGTTTTAATGAGTTTCAATGAACAGCCTTAAAACCCATGGTAAAAATCCAAAATAGTTGTCATTCTTAAGTCACTGCAATCCGCCTGATCATCTTTTCTCTGGAATTATCACCCTTCTATGTTCTCTTCATCTGCTCTTGCCAGTTGACATCTTATGAACCCCCTCCCCCCCATCCTAAGTTAAGAATTGATGCATGGCCTATGTAATAATCTGAAGCATAAGCCTATACAAGGAGCCTCACTCATTCTAGTCCTATCCTATACATGTTTCTAGCTGCAAAGGCCTGCTCGAAAACTGGCCCACAGCAGTGGATCTTGTTAAAAAGGACCAACTTGTATCATAGCCAGACGCACAATGGCTATGGCTTCAGATGTAAAATTTGACCCCATTAAGGAAGGCAATGAACCACGCTGCCGTTCAAGATCTCTTTCTCAAAAATCCTCCAGCAGTGAATCATATTCATCCACTGATGACATCATCATCATTGACCATAGCGAACTTCCAGATGTGGCTACTAAAAACCCCATGACTGAAAGGGGAGCAAAAATTCCAAATAGCTTCAATGAAAATCTTTCTGAATCACAATATGCAAAGGTGAGCCTTGGCAATGAATCACTTCATAGACTTAGGCTTAGATTGATACCTAATTTTTTGCTTTTCAAGTCTGTATTTTGCACATTAATATTGCCCATATTGTATTTCTGTTGATGGGAAGATTCCAAGTTGAATCCTGAGTCTTTTAACTAAATTGGGAATTCAGGTTTAATCAGGTCTTGGGATCCAGTAAAAAACCTGGGGTGTTCCCATGGGCCACGAACAGAAATTTTCAAATGAAAAAGACAAAATTACTCCAAAATATTTTCAAATTTTGGAATCTTGTAGCTCATGTCCAAGTTCAATCATCTCAATATCAACTGTGAAGCAGACTCATGAATCCCAAATCTCTTCTTGAATGGGACTCAAATTGTATTTGAACCAAGTTTTGATTCATAATTGTTAATCACTGATCACAATGACAGCTTAAACTCTGGCCCCATCAAATCTTTTTTTTTAATTGAAAAATGTAGAGTCCAGGGTTTGAAATTTGTTAGAACCTGAGGGCCCAACACACCTAGATACTTTGTTTGGTATTCATCTTTTGCTTACCTAGTATGCACACCTAGCACACACACACACCTTGTACTCCTGTAAATTTTAAACTCTGAAGTCTATTGCATTTGGATTTAACTAGCAATTGTATGCAGGGCACTGCATGGTAAATTTCTAATGGGTTATTCTTGCTTCATTGTTGTAAAATCTCCTATTTACTGTTTTTTCTGCTAATTCCAAGGAAAATTGTCATTAATAGGATGATAGGATTAATAGGACCTACACACAGTAAAACCCCAATTATCTGACCTAATGGATGGGAATTGATTGATAGATAATTTGAAGTTACTGTTAATCTTTACCATTTTACTTTTTTTTAATCTAATCCAAGCATCATCTGTTGATGCTTGGATTGGAGTCCTCTTAGCATCTGATTGTTCATCATACTTTCACTTAGGTATCCTGGGAAACTTGCACACTTTCTCTGCAATGTCTTCTTTATAGATAGCCTTATGGCTAGCTGTTGTGACAAATGTGCTAGTTCAAGTATATTAATATGTGCAGTATTGTTTGGTTATTTTTTGAGTCTGTTAACAACATAAATTCCAGTTCTTTCTTTCATTTGCTTTGCTTGGGTAATCCTTTAATTGGCTGGTAACTGAAAAATAGGATTTTACTTTATTCTATCTTATATTATGATACCCTCAATTGACTCTTCGACTGAAGAAGAGTGACTGTTTCCTTGATAATAAAAATGTTTTGACTCTTTGCAGGTTGTATTTCATGACTTAGCAGACACATATCCAACTGACTGTGACATTCGCTGTTCCTTCACTGTGCTGAGTGGCACACACATTGCCCCTGATGATCGTATTGCTCTTTACAAAGTGGGATGGAAGAACCTCTATGAATATGAGGCCTTCAAGTGGGTTCCACCATTTCAGCAGGGTGGAAAGTCTGAGAACATGTTTGTTCACTTCTCATGTGAGTCCTCTACTTACTAGACCAATGAGACTTGTGAAAACAAACTTGCATATTCCTTAGAAGCATCTGTTATGCTGTATGTAAGGTTTAATTCAAAACAAATTTTTATTGACAGCTTCTGATTTGCCCAAGGAGCCAGGGGAGTTCTACCAGTTTTGCTATGTGGGTCAAAGTAATGAAGTCTTGGGTGCAAGCATTCCCTTCCAGTTTCATTCAGCCAGTGATGAGGACCTATGTGAAATTGATGAGGATGACCTCCTTGTGGTCCGCTCCAAGACTGCTGTCTTGCAGGAACAAATCCAAAAGGTGTAGTGCCACATCAAAATATAGAAATTGCTTGCATGGTCTTTCCAAATCAAGTGTTCAGAATTAAACAAATAAGTTGTGGGAGGCATATAGATTTTTGTGAAATTTGACATAGATGTCTCATGGAAAGTCATGCTACTTATATTTCACCCATTGTTGCCTCTACACAGTCTCAAATTTTTCAAATGTTCTAGTATCTGGCTCCCTTGGAATGTGAGGAAATACTCATTTCCTCACATTTTATCCATGTATTTGGAAGAGTATAATGATTTTTGTGAGAAAATGTTTTTCAGTGTCTCCTGCTGATGGCAACATACTGTAGTGTGCTGAAGGTGATCTAAGCCAGATTTTTGTTTCTAACCACTGTTGTAAAAGATAGCTTTCTCTCTTTTCTTCTCTAAAAAGAATTGGTTGTGTTAGTATCCTGAGGTATTGCTAACATTCAGCATCACTAATACTAGACCTCTCACATTATTTTCCTTTCTATTAAATCTTGTGGCACTGTGCAATGGTTTTTAGCTTATATTCTTTACTGGATAAACCTAAAACATCTCCTAAATTAGAATATTTAAACCATGACAGTTTATAGGATGAAAGGCTTCTTTGTCTCTAAGTCTTAGATGAAGCCATCTCCCAGGTCAAAAACCAGAACCTACATAGTTGCTTACTCCATAATCTGATAATATAGGAACACTAGTTCCTATAATTATAAGAAGGGGAACACCCTTCTGAAAATTGATCTGGCACCTTAATAGCAGTACTTGTTCAGCATCCAGTCACTCTGTGCAGAGGTATTCTCAGATCAATACTTAAGTGATCTTATATCCTTAGAACTATGAGTATGAATGCAAAAAATATATTCTTTAATTTTTCATTAAATGGGAAAAAGCCACTGTACTCACTTTCAAGTAAATCTATAAGGTGTCCCCCACAGGGTATCAGACACTTGATAGACAAGAAGAACCTTTAAACAACCCTGTTGTTTAAAGGTTCTTCTTGAACCTAGGAGCTTGTATGAGGGTTTAAAAATGTTGAAAATGTTTAGTATTGCTGTTAAGCTTAGATATAACATTGAATCTGACATGCAGGAAAAGGAATGCTCTGAGGCACTGGAACAGAAGTGCTTGAGACTGGAGGAAACCCTCGAGGGGCTTTCAGCTGAAATGAATGCCCAGGCCCAGGAAAATTCCAATCTCCAGGAAAGATATGACGTATGTGGAAGAATGTCCAGCATCTAGCCTGACTAACTTACCTCAGAAATTTGTTGTTAAGAAAAAAGCCACCCAAGATGAAACAAGAAGCTAGAATAAGCTCAAGCTTAGTTTTGATGTACTTTGGTTGTAAACAAAATTGTAACATTTTTATAATTAATATATATATTCAAAATGATTTATTCATGAGGTATTGTAATGTCCCAAAAGTAACCCCTGGTAATAGCTAAAAAGTTTGCTCTATATGCAGTTGCAGTACATCAAATAGTCACCAAATGCATCGTCCATAAAGTGTGTCTTCTATTGTGTATCATTCATATTTTAATTCAGATTTTCTGGGAAAGATTACAGATTTTTATTTAAAATATATTAATACTTTAAAGAAAAAGGGAGAAGCCTTTGTAGACTTTGGGATGTTAGCAAAGCATATGTAAAACACCTTCCTTTCTTTATGTGTATTTATATCCAGTTGGCTTTTTTGTATTACCATCCTGGATGGCTCTTTTCCTTTGACCCAGAATTTTATTTATTGTCTTTCTGAATCTGCTGTTACCAAAATTATTGCAGAACTTGATGGGGCTACATCGTGACCAGCTGGAATGTCAGAAGAGGTTGGAGGAACGTATTCGACCTCTACATTCATTCCGCATTGAGGTTGGGTTCTCATAATTATAATTTTTGCTATGGTAGATCTCATATATATGTCTGTAGCATATTTAATTTAAGCTTAATTTTTTCATTCTATAGCATAGACCTGAGTGACTTTTACCATTTGGTTTGATATTCTGATAAATTTGCATATTTTTTCTTCAAGATTCATCATTGATTACACAATATGATGTATGAGCGACAAATTATTAAATGAAAATGAGAATTTTGTCTTGCTTTTCTTTCCTCTTGATGGGATTGATTCTAATGTTGAGAACTGTTAAATATGTCAAAGAGGGGATTCAACCCTTGAATGTGTTGCTGAATTTTTGTTTCAGCTGAGAATTAGAGAGAGAGATTATCATATATATATTCTTCTATAGGTATCAAACATCCTCACATGTGAAAGTGAGTCAGAGGTCTCAGATGATGAGAGTGTCCTGAAAAGGCTGGCTGCAAAGGTATCCCAGGAGCAGGAGTTGAAGACCTCCATAGAAGAACTCCGATCTATCACCCAACAGCTCACTTTGGTCTGGTTCATTAATGTTCTGATCTTCCAGACCTATTGCATCCCAAGTATCTCAGAGTTATATAACAGGATATTAAGTCAATATCTTATCCATCATTCAATGAAAGAAATTTCAGGTTACCTGTTATGGAGGCAGTGCACCAAGTCCTTATTTTTATTGAAGGAAGTTGTTACCTTATAGAAGATGAAACTCTGACACTGGTAGATTGAGGAAAGATTGCTATACCTATGTACCTAAGTTATCAAACTTTGTCAAGTCAATATTTTAAAGAATAATGTTTACTTTACAATATGGTACTTGATTTTAAATTTTGTCATTGGTCCCATAATTTCCTTTCTGAAAATTGTGAAGGAAATACACTGTAAAGAAGGTCAAGGAAGCATAATCTAGTGCACATTCCCTGGATGGCAATGCTGTCATCATGGCATTAGTAATGGAATAATATGAAAACACAGTAGATATTGGGATTCTTTATCAATCCCTCTAGATTGATCTTAAGTTTAAACATTTATTGCACCTCGGGGTCCCATCACCAAAGAATAAAAATGCATTGTCAATCTTTGGCACTAATAATGGGCATTCCCACATATAGGGTGGCCCTGAAGCTTGTATCTATATTCAGAGCAATGCAGCTCCCAAACCATAGGAGATGGACATGTGATTCTTAATCATGACAAAACTACAGTAGGATGGAAAACATTAATAACAAAATGACAGTCTTTCAGTGAATGCCATTTCATAAATTGTTCAATACAGCCTTCAAATTGATCAATCAAACATCTCTCAAGGAATTGCGTGCACTTCCTACTATATTGTGGCCCTATGATCTGCAAGCATTGTTGAGCTATCATGGTACACAGGCATTTTCAAGAACTAATAGTCACATAGATTGTGACTGTTAGTTGTTGAAGATGCCCATGTAATGCCTGTGAGCTGTAAGATCCTTTGGTATGAGAAATTTTCATTTTGATAATATGACATGCTTTTCTTGTGAAATTAAATTCATGAGCTTCATAGGTATCTTGGTCTGCTTTCTTGGAATTTTTTCCTGTCAGAAAGTGTTTGAGTGATTAGCTTTTTTTTAGCCTTTACTGTTACTTATTTTTTTTTTTAATTTGGATGTTGCAGAAAAACCATGAATTGGAAGAGACTGTAGAGAAACTGCACATAGATATGAGAAAGACACAGGAACAACTCGAGCAAAAGGACCAGGCAATAGAAAGTTTCAGATGCATGGAGAGTAAGAAGGCCGAATTGGAGGGCTTTCTCCACCAGGTTTTGTTTCTTTTACATATCTATTTTGATAAGAAAAACCTTTGCATGCCCCTACAAGAAGAAAAAACATGTCTAGGTGTGGAAGATGGTGACAATGAAGTCGAACTTGCCACTGGAGGATACCCAAACAACGCTTGAGAAGCTGTATGAGGAATTGAAGGCAGGAAGAGAGGCTGTTAGTAGGTGTGAGCGGCAGAATAGTGCCATGAATGATCTTCACCTTGCTGTTCATTGTCTCAACATGGTGAGAAAAATCCCTCTAACAGATCTCTCTTATAGCAGTTCCCAAATTGTGCTACACCTACTTCTGGAAGTATGCTATGTATGCATCCTAGAGGCACGTGGTAAACAGAGATAGAATGTTTGGGAATTGCTTCTATAGCATATCTTCTCGTGTTCATGAGTCTGTTCACTGAACGGAATAGATTATTTTCTGTCTAAAATCGTAATGAATGGCTGCCACTGTGTCTCAAGCTTGTGTCTTAAAGGGGGAGTTCACTTTTTTACAACTTGAAGTCTATATGTAAGTCATGTTGAAAGAAAGACTTTGCCATAAACCAAAAATGTATTATTAGACCTATTATTGAAGAAATACTGGGAGAGCAACATGAAATGGATGGCATTGTATAACCAATAGTAGGAAAGGAGAAGGAGTGGGAAATCATGCTGATATCCAATCACACTACATGCCCCTTCTTTCCTCTTTTCAGCCATATCAGTTTCATTTTTCTCTCCCTGTACTTCCTTAATGGATGTCCCAATAAAATTCATTGTTTTCAGTCGTTGTGACTTGCAGATCAAGCCCAAGTTGTAAAAATGTGAATTTCCCTGTAAAGAAGTTGAGGAGCTTAGGCTGTCAATGACCCTGAACTGATAAGGTGAAATTGGTTGTTTCTGGTAATCCATACTCAGTTGATGAGTTGATAAGGTATGTTCTCATCACCACTGGCAATAATAATAATTTCACCCTTAGTGTTTGGAATACAATGGTGTCAGCTCTCTCATATGTTCCTGAAAAAGTTATGCTACCACTGAGGAACTATATTCAATAGTTCACTTGGAAGAAACCATTTTCAGTGAAGTTCTCAACTTGAGAGTTTTAAAGATTTGTAATACCAGTGTAAACCAAAGAAAAGATGAAAAAAAAATTAAGAAGCTTTGAAGGAGTCAGCTGAACTGGAGTAGCTCAGGATAGTCCAAAATGGGGAGGTGTTGTCATAGCAGTGAGCACAAAATGAATGATTGTGATGCATTAGCAGATGTATCATGTTTAATTGCACTTCATGGCAACTATACAGAAAATGTCTCAGTAGATCCTGGGAATCAGGAAGGTAAATTTGGTTGTTGGTGGTGGTCTGAACTGAGCCACTAGGTCTCTATAAGATCCTAAAGAATGATTCACTGAGTGACTGCAAGGGAGTGTGAAGGCCATTTGAAACATTTGATAGACACACCATAAACCTATCCTCACATGGCTTTCCCTGGTGAAACCACCTCTTATCATAGGAGGCCAGAACTCCTAGCTCCATTTCTGCATATGGTGACAGATGTCATATGTATTGGAGCAATAAGATTGCACTTGTATAATGTCACAAAAAGTCTCTGTTGCTAACAATGTACATATGCATTCTATGCACTTGTCTGGCTTTGTTTAATCCTATATATTTTCATCCTTATATCGCAATAAGGATTTTACTAAACTTAGTACAAGACTTTGTACTACTGCACTTGCAGGCACTAGGCATATTAAGTTTAAAATGCCCTGGTTTAACATAAACCCTTGTATGGTCTTTTTATTTAGCCTAAGATCACATAGAAAAGATATTGTCCTTATGCACATTTTTTGGGAATCCAGACCCCCTCCCTCCCTTTTATAGCAAGCTTCCACTGAAGTCCGAGCATTCATCATAATGACTGTTGTACACCAAGTTGCTGGCATGACTTGAAATCAGATGGGTGATGGTCTTTTCAGGACAAGGAGAAACTGCAGACAGGGTCAGAAAGACTGAAGCAATGGAAGGAGGAACGAGAGCAGCAGTTGCTTTCTGAGAAAGAGAAGTTGGAGAAGGAGTTGCAAGAGATGTCCCTAGCTGAGCTGCAATGGCAACTTGCATTCCAAAAGGTAGGTGTCTCATTCTGAAGCTTGAGAGGCTGCAATGCAGGTCATGAAGAGAAGAATTGAGTTCCATCAGAAAATTAGCCCTTTCCTTTCTTGTTAGAAGCAGTCAATGCAATATGTATGGCCAGTCTACAAAAGGCTTGATTTTCATACTCATTGATGTACTATTGAAAAGTTTCTTGTAATTTTGCTTGTATCCCATAAAAAGGGGATGAAGAAGATGGAAACATACATTGATGGGGAGACATGGGGCAAGGAGGTGATGAAGGAGTCCTCTGCTGTTGAGAAGTTCCTAAGTGCTGTTGACACCCTTGGCATGAAGGCATGCTCTGACTCTGTTGATGTCTGGCAGCGACGATGCTCTCAGCTGCAGGCTGATAAGGTTCTTTTCCTCCCACCTTGTTGATTCCAGCATTCATGTCATCCTGTTTATCATTCATGTGACATTTATATATTGCCAGGATGCATGCAGAAGGAATTATCGAAAAGAGATAGATCTCTTGAAGAAGCAGCTGCAGGCAGGAAAAGAGGTTTTCCAAGAGAAGGTACGAGAGAATTTCCGTTTCAGAAGTTACCTCCACAAAACACTTCAACGTCTGGAAGCAGAAATCCAACCATCCAAAAACATCCTCATATGCATCATGAAGCTGAAAAACCTTCTGAATGAAGACAAAAATGAAGACCAGAGTGAGGAGGAAGAGAGGCCACAACCTGTGAGTGCCTTCGACACACTGATTGTGTTGTGACATTAAATTGTGATGAGCTGGATTCAGTGGGGGTACTTAAGCCAAAAAGTTTGAGAAATTTGTGGTGATACTTCATATTGTTCATCTGTGGTTTGACCACTTGGGGGGGCAAAATTGTGAATTTTTAATATCCTGGTATTCTTTTGTGTGTATCTTTTTGGGAAAACTTGTGCCAAGCAGCTTGAATAAGCCTATGCACTTGCACCTCATCTATTCAGATACTCATGTGCAAGTGACACTATTGGACTTATCATTTATCACCAGCCTTTGCATTCCTGCTGCTGATTATGAAATTTCCCATGCATGTAAATAAATGAAATTTCCCCATTACACGAAACAAAAAAATTTCACTTTTCCTGCTATAGATTTCCACATATTTATCCTTTCTGTCTTGAGCTCTTTCTTATTGCCTAGGCTCATCATGGTATCTTTGATCATTTTTATTTGGGCTACTTCTGTTGACCTAGAGAATGCTCTCGGTCAAGCATGCAACCGCCACATTTCTTTTGACAGGGATCTGCATGGATACAAGGGGACAAGAAAAGTTCAACAAAATATGAATCAAGCAGACATCCCCAACCAGTTCATTTATTTATAATAATATTTAAATTATAAGAACAGTTTCCAACCCATGGTTGGAAAGCATTTTTCCCAATTTTGAAAGTAGCCCTGAAGGAGGGAACTTTTATGTCCTGAAAACAAAGGCTATTTCTATAAACAAAAGTTAACTGGTTGGGGACACCTGCTAAATTCCTATTTTATAGATGCTGCTGCCTTATTCGAGTTACTAGGGGGCCAAGTTGTGAAGAAAACCTCTTTCTGAAGAGTGACTTTGCCAATAAGATATTGTAAAGTCAAGTTAAATTGATGTTTCGTTCATTTGTATTATCATCATGCATCATAATCATCTCAAAGTGCCTCTGATGGACTAGCCATGTAGCATTATGCACTGCTACTCAATGTCTGAATGTTAGTCAAGGCTTGGTCTCTGAATTGATAAAGATAGCAGGCTGGAAGGATCAATGGAGAAATGGTTTCTGGAAAAATTAGAAAATTAAAAGGAAAAAATTGTCTTTCATCAGCAGTCTGTCATTGCAGTCCAAGTGTGGGGATTAAAAGAATCCTGTATGACTCAGGAGGGTGAGGGAGACAGAGTGTGCCGATGCTGTGACCTGTGTCTCCCTCGGGACACACCCAATACATTGTGGCTGGATCACATGGAGCAGAGCCATAACAAGCTCCTCTGCCCCCTCTGTGGGGCCCTATTCGAGAAGGATGTCACTGCGGTGTACCAGACACACGTGGGAGAGCACTTTGAGGAGGCATGGGATGCTGATGCTGATTCCAGTCCTATCCACTGTCCTTCCTGTCCACAGAAATTCCTGCCCGAGGAACAAGATGCCTACCGCTCCCATGTCCAAAGCCATCATCTCACAGCCTGATTTTGTGCACCTGAAAATGTAATCCTAAGTTTCTGCCTGCTTAAGAAATTTGAGGTTGTCATCTCTGTCTGGGTCTGGACACAACTTTGGATTTTTTATTTTTGGTTCTTTTCAAAGTTCAGCTGCTTGTGATGGGATGAGGAAATTTTTGTAGTTTTTATGGGGATAGGCATAAAGCACCATACAAGGAAATTTTATTAGAGATCAATGAAATGCTGCCATGAGTAAGTTTATTATATTCATGGTAAGGTTACTTAAGTCAGATATAGTTTTCTAGTCATAAGCCTTTTACGTTTGATGAGTTTAGATTGCAAATCTAAAACTGCTGTGATGGCACCTAATTGCCTGTAGCAATAGTTGAGCTGTTGGTGAGGAGTGTGAGGTTTTATTCAAATATATTCCAATTAATGAATGAGTTGGAGGAGGATGCAACCACTTGCAACAAACCTGCTGACAAGATTATCTAGTGACAGTCATTCTTACAATATTGTTTATTTCTGAGAATGTCAGAATAAGTGGCATGACAGGTGTAGGTAAAAAAATTTTCCTTCTGGTCAATCTTTCTCCTTCATATTTTGGTTCAATGCAATTATAGGGTATCAAATCATCTTGTTCTCTGCAATCACCTTTGTCTCTTTTGGGTATGAATTGCTTCACATTTTGTATATGTTGACTGTGATCCCAGTGAGCAAGTCCTTGATGCTGGATTTTCTCCCATGCAGCCGTATGATATATAGATTCTTGACATTTTTAAATGTGATTTGTTGTTCATGGCCAGGAAAATTATTTGGGCTTTCTGTGTTATTTTTCTGCCTTTTGGGTAACAATCCTCATTGACTTCATATTTTTAATTGATCTTGAATTTAACTTTGTTCACCAATGCCATCATCTCAGTCTCATATCGGTCTGAATTCATTTACAGTTTGTATATCTTGTGATTCTGATCTACAAGTGCTTGACATGGCATGTCTACTCCATTCTATTATTGATACTTGGAAGTTATTGGATTACCTATTTTATGTATGGTTTCTTTAATGACCTTTGTGCATAGATGTTGTATGGCTTCCCCTGTTTTCATGCATTGCATGATTTGATGCTAATAAAACCCGTGTTCGGTCCAGTACCAGAAATTGTTTTTTATGTCACTCTTGCTGGTGTGCAGGGCACTGAGACTCAGTGGCCATGGAGGATGTTAGCCCCATGCATTTGCATGTGCAAATAAGGGCAGCTATTTAAAACAAGCACGCAATAAACTAGGAAGACATTGGAAATATAAAAACTGTCTCTGTTGTTTCTTTCAGAGAAGAGAAAGATGCTGTCGCTGACACGCAGTGCCATCTCCTCTGTCCTGAATGGATCCAGCAGGAGTTCCACGCTGAATCGATGCCTCTCTGCCTCTGCCATGTGAGCCTCAGTCCAAAATGAATTAAGTTCGCTTAAGCAACCTAAATACATCCATCAAGTGCTTTAGTTGCTTTAGCCATTCATCCATAAATGATTATCAAATCGAGTGCCCTGGGATGTGGGTGAAGGCTTTAACCTTGTTTTCTCACTTTCCAATGGCTAATGTGGTACTAGCAATTTCTTTTCGTATAGGAAGAGAATGAAAAATGATTTGCTGTTCCCCAAGGAGGATATGTGGTTGGGTTTCTCAATGGCTTATTTCAACATGCATCTTATTTCCCCTTGATGAATCTCAAGCATTTTCTGGCAGTATTCAGGCCTGAAGCTGCCATTATGCAACAGAATCATTCTTCTATGCTACAAAAAATTCCCTATTCCCAAGTAAATGTGATTTCATGGGAGAAAAGCGAAAAAATGGACATATATCTAATCTGGAAATGTGAGTCTCCATTGTTGAATAATGTTGAAGAATCTTTGCCCAATTAGCCATTGCAATCCCAGTGAAAATAATTCACACTGTTGGTGAAATTTCCCATCATAAACCATTGAAATCTCCAAATCCTTTTTTTAAGCCTCTAAATTAATTTTCATCCTTATTTATGCATTTGTTTGTAAATGATACACATGGAGGATCAACTGAGATGTGGTTGAATGGCTGAAAACAGTGGTTAATAGTGCGAGCTTGGCCTTTTCCCCACTGTTTTCAAATCAAACCTTCTCATCAAGGTTTAAGTGATAAGAAACTAAATGTTTTGGCAATTAAGAAAAACTTAGAAATGAACTACTGTTCACCGTGTTTGACCTTCAGTGCTGGTGATTTTTTTGCAAGAAGTCAGTGTGGTAGAGACAAGATTAAAACTCAGACAAAACCAAGCCAAAACTCAAATGTTCCCTAATTCTTCCAAATTTGAACTGAGTTGAACTCTAAGAGAGTGGAACATCCGAACATGAATCGAACTCAAACCCAGTTTATTCGAACTGAGCTGATGAAAAATGAATATTTATTTATTATATTTAAGATAGTATTACCCTGTTGATGTCTTCTGCCTTCTGATTTCTGGTTCGTAAAACCATTCTGTCTTCATGCCCAATGGAACTCTCCTGAATTAGCACACCAAAAAATTAAGGAAACTTGAAACTCAAATACCCTGCATTCGAATCATACTGAAGCAAACCAGAAACTTGGTGCGTTCCCCAACCCAAACTCAAATTTGTAGAACTTGTCGAAATCTGTTTGAAAACGAACTTAATGACTGTTGGACGCATGTCTTTTCCCTTGTTCTGTCATTAGGCATTCTACGGATGTAAGCGCGTGAGGTTCATCACTTGGCAAATGCTGCCATGCGATAGATTGAACAGGCCTCAAAAAGGCCTCAACGTCTGGCCTACGATGCAGAGTTCCTCGAAATTGTTTGCAGCACTTTTCGTTGTTCAGAGTTTATGGGCATCGGGAGAACTGACCCGGATTTTGTGTTTCCCCCTCATTCTCCAGTTTCAGATTTAAAACAGCTTACGGCCACATGAACTGTCATCATTTCTCTAAAATTGACTAAAATCCATCCTCGTCGTAGTTTTTCAAGTCGAATCAACTCCCCTTTGCTTGAGTTCATAAGTTTCCCCCATTTTCATTGTAACAAAAGTGATTTCATTGCTCCAAGTTAAAAACCACCGGTTCCACAGCGTAGAATTTTTTAGAAATGAAGCTAAATTCCATGCAGTTGGTGGTTGGTTTACTTAGAAGAGAGGAAAATATTGATGTCAAAATGTTCCAAGTTCGTCTTCCGCAATTCTCAGAGATTACACGAAAAAGGCATACCATAATGTTGGGCGTATTACTTACACATTTGTACTTAGGGTACAATTTCTTTTATCGTGAAAATGGCAATATTCAGCTCCAGGTATCAGTAATGAAAATAAAATTGAGCGTTCCCTAATTAACGTGAAAAAAACCTCGTCTGGTTAGTCTAACAAACGAGAACTGCATTTGGATGCAGCCGATGGGGGAAGGGCGAGGGCAGCGAGAAGGGCCGGCGAGCGACGAGCCAGAGCGAGACGATGCTGGAGATCGGCACCCGGGAGATCTTCAACGCGGACCACGACATCTTTCGCGAGAGCGTCCGCCGCTTCTTCAGGGAGGAGGTGCTTCCCAAGCAGGAGGAGTGAGTTGGGGTCTCTCGCTCCGCGTGCACCGGCGACGCGGGTCTCGGTCCTTTTCGTTCGTACTACTTCGATGGAGGCGTGGGGGTGTATGATCGGTGGGCTCTCGGGTCTGTACATCCGTTGGTGATGACCAGGGATGCTGTCGTGGAGTTTTGTCGTGTCTATGTTCACATTTTGCATTTTGCTTTTGCCAGCAAACTCGCATTTTCGTGTCTTCCTCTTTTTATTTATTCGACTCGTCGATCGTCTATATCCGTATCGATGTTCAATGAGTCGATGAAACGCTTGCGCGTTATTTTCTGACCGGAACGGAGGGGTCGAGATTCGCGCCGCGACGGAGAGCGAACTCTCGAGCCCGCGACGCGAAGGATTCCTTGTACGTGCGTGTGCGTGTGTGTCTGTTCAGGTGGGAGGAGAGAGGAGACATCGGCCGTGAGACGTGGGAGCGAGCGGGGTCGTTGGGTCTGCTGGGGGTGAGCACTCCCGTGCAAGTGGGCGGCCACGGAGGCACATTCCTCGACTCCGCCATCGTCCACGAGGAACAGTGCGTCTCTTCCCTGTCGGCGTCTACGTGCAAGGGCAAAAGTCTCAGATGCTTCCGGCGAAGGGGTTGCTAATTACGCATCACGCAGTCCGGAGGGAGGGAGCGAGGGGGGAAGGGGTCGAAATCCATTACCAGTACTCGATGATGGAACGCGTACGTGAAGGTGCGACGAAGGAGGGACAGGAGCGCAAGCGAACGCCAGCCTTTTCCTCCGTCTGTCTGCCCTCCGAGACCTGGTTTTTCTCATAAAAATTCATCCTACGTTCACTCTTCTTGTTAGCCCCCATCAGGGTGGTGTACAACTACCCTCGTATCACTCAGATAACTCTTACCGCATGTAACCCGACATTCTGGTGATGCAAATAAACCCTCATAGATATAACGTCGGGTAGAATTATTACGTTTCGAGTCCAGATTTGAGATTTTTTACTCAGAACGGGTTCGTGCAACTTTCTCATCGCCGGAATTTTTCATAAGTTTTTTTTTATCGCGCATTACTTTATGTATCTGTTAAATGTTATTGCGAATTTGCAAGCTTGAGTTGTTTGTTTCAATGAAGCTGACTCCAAAGTGAACAGATGGACACGGAACGATATATTTCTCACTTGATATGTTACGACTTCGCATCTGCCAAAACCAAGAAATTCGCGATCACGTGATTTATATTATGATGTACCCGTACTCTCTTTAGAATAGTCGAAACTGGAAAAAAAGGACTGCTTTCCCATTTCGACAGAAAGGTTGGATTTCGCCGATAATCTCAGTGCTGGTGCGAACTGGGTTGTTTGTGATCTTGGTTTGCCCCAGTAGATGGTTATCATTTCCCAAGGAACGTGGTAGTGCAGCGGTGTCAATGAGACGGATCGGTCGCCGGACGAGACTTTTGCCCTCGCACTTATTCTGTTCTAATCTTAAAGAAGCGATAGTACTTTTCCGGACTCTCAACGACTCTCGGCTCCATCTGAACATCTGGGATTTTCCTGCCCCTCTGCAACTTTTAAAACAGCGCATTTTATTTTTACTTTTGCCGTGCCGCGTTCCACGTTCGATCGTTTCTCGACCGACAGGAGCTACGTGAACTCGAGCGGGCCGGGCTTCCCGTTGCACACGGACATCGTGATGCCGTACATCACGCACTACGGGACCCCGGAGCAGATCCAGAGGCTGATCCCGGACATGATGGCCGGGAAGCGCATCGGCGCCATCGCCATGACCGAACCCGGCGCCGGCAGGTCAGTCCGCTTTCTTCCGACGACGCGCGAAAGACGCCGTTTCGGATCCGTATCCGACGGAAAGCCGAGTTCCCCTCTGAACGTTCGAGGTCCTGGATGTGGGCACCGTTTTAAACTTTGCGTTCGCGTGGGGTCGTCGCAGCGACCTGCAGGGGATCCGGACGCACGCGAAGAAGGACGGGGACGACTGGATCCTGAACGGGAGCAAGACGTTCATCACCAACGGGTGGCTGGCGGACACGATCATCGTGGTGGCCGTCACGAAGCCGGATGCAAAGTCTGCAGCGCACGGAATCTCGCTCTTCGTCGTCGAGGAGGGCATGCTGGGCTTCAAAAAGGGGAGGAAGCTCAAGAAGATGGGGCTCACGGCTCAGGTGAGAGAGGGGAAGCTGAAGGAGATGTGGTTCGGGGCTCAGGTGAGAGAGATGGGAGGGAAGAAGGAGACGATCAGAGACTGATTCCGGCAATAGCTTACTCGATGTCGTCTCACCTTACGATGTGTTCCTGCTGACCTTCGGTCCTTCGATAACTTTGAAAGTACAGGTGCAATAATTATTTATTCAATGCGCAAATATTTCCATTTTTAAGACAGCCAGGAGGTGTCTCCTCGATTTAGTTGCTCTACGTTTAATTGCTGTAATTGTCCATTTGCTTACTCAGTGAGTGAATGGCAGTGACGGATCCAGGGGGGGGTTAACCAATGGCCAAGTTCGCATTCTGTTTTTCTAATTTCAAAAGCGCATAAATTCTTTTCCCTTGGGGTCTGTGCAATGAATTCCAGGTTTTACCACAGAAGAAAAACGAACCAGGCGTTAGGACGTAGGGTGGAGGGGGGGGGGGGAATGAAACTAGTGATCCCCCCCCTATTTAACAAGAGAATATTTTTCGAGATGTACAAGTTTGCCACTGGCCCATTGTACTCCTTCCTTGAAGCGAATCTCTGAGTCCTTGACCATCATGAATGGATAAAAAAAAAATGAAGTAGCCCATTTAAATTTTTTTAGAGCGGAGATCATGTAAGCAGCGCTTCAATGCACGTTTTCAAATGTGAACTCGTTAGCGGAGGAACATTCCGTGATGAAGACAAAGGGACTGCTTAGAAGTAAAGACAATTCCAGGAATGTATGACGGTCTGAGAGGGCAGTCTGCTCTCGTCTCACGTGAGCAGACTGCTTTCGTTTCACGTAAGGAGACTACTTCCGTATCGAGTCTTTGTTTTCTTACCCCTTTATACTCGAATGGCCAAACTCTAAAGCTCAGGTTTCTCATCCTTTCGTCGAATCCGATCGAAACTCGATTTGAAACTTTGTTTCCTTCGATGCCATGAGGGTATCACACCTGTGCACCGTGTCGGCTCCGAGGTCCAAAAGTCGCTCGGTCGTTCTCGCAGGACACGGCGGAACTGTTCTTCGAGGACGTGCGTCTGCCGAAGTCGGCTCTGCTGGGAGGAGAGAATCACGGCTTCTACTGCCTCATGCAGGTTCGAATCTCGATCGATTCTACTTCGAGTTGATTTTGTGAACGGGATTGACGCGAATGATCTGGACGGGAACGAAAGGAGCTGCCGCAGGAGAGACTCTTGATCGCGGTCATGAGCTTGGCGCACTCGGAGTGGATGTTCGAGGAGACCCGCAAGTACGTGAAGGAGAGGAAGGCCTTCGGGAAGACCCTTGCTAACCTTCAGGTGCGTCCTTCGACCTCTTCCTCTCGGGTCGCAGTCGATTTGATATTAAGGGTCTTGTGGGTGTGGGGCGGGGGTGCAGACGGTGCAGCACAAGCTGGCGGAGATGAAGACGGACATCTGCGTGGGGCGAGCTTTCATCGACCAGTGCATGAAGATGCACTGCGAGAAGCGACTCGACTCGGGCATGGCCTCCATGGCTAAATACTGGTACGTCACGTCGGATGAAGATACTTTGCGTCGTCCTTCCCTGTCCATTCACTCCTGGGAAGGGGAATGCCGGAAAACCGTTGAAAATGGCCGTGGCTTCGACCCACAAGGTCGTTAGTCGAAGGTCGACTGATCGTATCGAAGCGATTGTACTGGAAAAAATGTGTTCTATATAAGGTCAATTGAGGCGGTACCGCATTTCATTCGTAGAGATTAGTTCGAGTGGAATTTGTTCTGCCAAAGGCAGAGTTCGAACGATAATTTTGCATGACGTCACTCTATCGTGCCTTGCGACTTTCGTCACTTCGTGATCAAGGAGCAAATTTTTTTTTATGCGCTAAGTGATGAAGTATGCTCGCACATTTGAAGGGAAATATCTAAATATGAAGAATGCATAAGAAAATGTGAAAATGCAAAACTAAGACTTTTCAAACTCGGATATTATTTGATAGTGGGAGATTACAGCGTACTTTTCCGAACTTTTTCACGGAAATTAGGAAAATATTTATATCCGGAGAATCGACAGTCCGCGCATCAATTCTACTTTTTTCGACCGGAAATGGGTAGAATATGCGCGCCTATTTATATATGCATCAATATGCTTATGAATATGTAGATATATACATAAATGTGCCAAATCGCACAAAACTGCCGAAATATCAATTTTTATGCGTTCTTAAAATGACATCAATCGCTTCCCCCCCTAGTAATACAAGCTTGTCTCTTAGTCGCATGCTCATACGAGGCTGCAGGACAAATATGCATTTGCGTAATATTTCACTCTTGTAACCCCGGGGGACAGATCGGGTCGAGACCATGGACGCTTTTTAGCTCCGAATTTGTACCTGACGGCATTCTTCTTCGAGTCCTTGTCGGGTGCATTCCACCGAGATCCAAAAGAATTTCCATTCCGCTTTCTCGGATCGTAATCGATGCTAATCGCATGCATGAACGGTTCGGTGCTTCAGGGCGACCGACCTCCAGAACAAGGTGGCATACGACTGCGTGCAGTTGCACGGGGGATCCGGATTCATGTGGGAGTATCCCATCGCCAAGGCCTACGTGGATGCGAGAGTCCAGACCATCTACGGAGGAGCGAACGAGATCATGAAGGAGCTCATTGCCAGACAGATCGTCTCTTCCTGATCCCATTACTTTTCGCCCTGACTTCCGTGGAACACGTTTCTTGCTCATTTTTTTGAGGGGGGAGGGAGGGGGGTGGGGAAGGAATGAAGGGTGTTTGGAATGACCGATCTATGTATAAATAGTACATTCCATCGTGGTCGCGTTGCCTTGATTGTTTAAGTCAGTGCTGATTCACTGTGATGGTCTTTTCTTGCTTACATATCAAATAAAGCATACTCTTCTGCAGTATTGCCCTCGCATCCTTTCGCCGAATCGGTCCAAGGGAGCAATCGATCCCATCGGTTAAACGGTATTTCTATGAATGTACGTGCCTGGAACGGTGCGAGGAGCACGTACTCCCCCCCCCCTTGTTCGGATCCAATTACACTGGAAGGACCGGGACTCGTTGATACTTGTGGATCGAAAGGACCGAGACTGAAACTCGAAGGATCGGGATGGAATCTCGACCCAGTCCTAAAATAAACGGGAGATACGGGATTCGAGTGAAAACGAGTGGAAAATGAGGGGAGAGATGGCGAGGCGTGAAATCCCTTGACACCCTTGTGGGGGTAAGGAGGTGTCACGTGGACGCGGCTGGATCCCGACGCAGGTGGTCTCAGGTGGTCTCGAGCTTGAATGTCTCAGGGGGCATGAGGGAGCATGGGCTCAGTCTGCTTTCCGCTCTCGCTCGTGCCCCTCGTGTGCCAAAGATACTCCGCTCCTTTCCGTTCCCCGCTAGACAAATTGCTTTATTATGCGTTTTTAAGAAAAAAATATTTTTTTTTTTGGCAATTGGCAAATTTGATTTGTGCATCATCCGAACCGGATGTAGAATTTTAATTTTGCAAAGGTCGATACACCGACTCCTGTGGAAGAGTTCTTCGACACCGAGCGGATCCAGGTGAGTCGGCAGATTTCGGCAAAAAATAGCGAGAATGACGACGCGTAGGAGGACGAGATTCATTCGCTCGGCCGTAATGACGGAGGAAGGAAACTCTCGGGGGCAGAAGGGCAACGGTCACCGCTTCCAGTCTCTCGATTGAGGGCGGCCTGGATTCCGCGCCGACGTCGTTTCGTTCCGAGCCTACGTCCATCCGAGTTCGTGCTGCCGACTCGGAGACCGCGGTTACACGTGTTTCGTGCAGGTTCGGTTCGTGTCACCTGTGCTGATCGTGCGTGAGAATTCCTTCGCGCGTGACGACGTTCGGGGGTTACATTCACTTCGCACGTGCAAAATCAATGGCGCCCTTACCAAAATATTTCGGAGGCACGTCGGTGCGTTCGTGCAATGGTTTTACTGTCTGTCCAAACGCTACGCTTATCTGTTGATTTTCTATCTATTTATTTTATTTTATTTATCGACTGACTTTTTTTCATTTCCTGTTGCTCATCGTCGCCGTCTTTCTTTACCGGAAAGGCGGGCGACCCTATTTCCGGATGAAAGGGAAAACGATGAGAGGAAGCAGGAATCGAGAGGACCAGTGAGATTTACCGCGAATCAAGGACGTCCCTTTTCTTAATTGCATTCCGGATTGAAGGCTGTTCAAGGCCGGGAGCTTCTTCCGCCCGGGATGAGTCATCGTGACCGCCACCTCCGTTCCCGACGGTGACCGGTGACCATCGCTGGTGACCACCCCTTTTCCTGCTGATCCTCGTAAGTCCTCGCTCTGTGATTTCGTGTGAGATCTGGGAGGGCACTCGGCCAACAAGTAAAAGTGAAGTAAAACGAAAAATGAGTCTCGGCTTTCGTACGAGGCACCATTCCACGAGTTTCATTCAACTTGAAAGCTGAAACTCATTGAATGCATGTCGTGGTAAACGTATGAGGTGTGACCTACCGTATGGCCTGTGACCTACCACAGCCCTTTGGGTATGGGATGTGACCTACCATGTGGGGTGGTGTCTTACACTATACTGTAACGACAACACTGCGTGATGACCTGACAGGCTTATTGGGAGGTTTATTTTGGGGGGGTCAACGGTCAACCCAGACTCAACCTCCCCCCCCCCCCCCCCCCCCCCCCCCCCCCCCACCCCCCCCCCCCCGGAAAANCCCCCCCCCCCCCCCCCCCCCCCCCCCCCCCCCCCCTCCCCAAATATGCCCGTCAGTGTCACGGAATGGGAAGCATGGGTGGGGTCACATGCATACAGTGGTGGATACAAAAATTTTCATTAGGGACGTCAAGTCTATGTTCACAGTTTAATCTAATGCGAAACCTGATGATAGTCAAATGACGAAATTTGCAGACCTAAGGAGCTTTGGAAAATAAAATCCTGTTAAAAAAGGGTGTATTTTATATCATGCAAACTGTGTAAGTCACAGTTAATTTCCAATGTGCTGTGGTAGGTCACAGACCATAGGTAGGTCACACCTCATACCCATGTCGTTATACGTACTCGACTTAAATTAAATTTTGCAGGACTCTGAACGAGACGAACACGATATGCACTTTTCCCATCTTCGCGTGAGACCACGAACAGGATTGGATAGCTACGCGTAACGGGGAGGGTAACGTAGTTACTGTAATGCCATATAAATCTCGGTAATGATTCCGTATATCGAATGACAATTTTGCCTAAAAGTAAAACAGGGTTGGGAAATTCGCGAAAAATGAAAATAGCTTTTTTTCGCAAAAAAGACGTTTTTTTCACGGTTTCTGGAGCATCAACGCCACGAATCTCTTAGAATTCCCCAGGAGATGATATTCTCGAAGGGACAAGGAGATTTGGTTATCTGTTCATGAAAAAGTTGCAGAACGAGTGACGTTATTGAGTGCGTCACCAGTAGTTTTAGAACACGGCAAGGCGATTAGACACGAAGGGGGTCTTCCAGCCGACCTCCGGGAACGTGATCGTCATGCAAAGACTGGGCTATCAGGAGTGACTGCGCAGTCGTGTGACCTCAGGTACAACGTTGCCAATTCGTTTAAGTCAGTTCTCGGCTGGTTTGGTAAGGCGGATGATTTACTGTGCTTTTCCTCGCATTTCGAGAAGGAAGGATGTGCTTCAAGAGTTTGAAGACAGCTCGTGCTAGCCTAAGATGCCTGGCGCGTATTCGATCTTTCTCCACCAATATGGCGAACAAAGGTATTTCCCCTCGCTGGATTAGTTTCGCTGGATTAGTTTAGCTGTCCTGGAACTTCAAATTTCTCATGCGAACCAGTTCAATTACAGTAGTCAAAATCAGATGAAAATGCATTACATTTGGATATTGGGGGATTCGCGGGTTAACCATTTCACTGGGTATCTCCGAGTCGAAGATTCCCTCAGATTAAACGCTTGTACGCCATCTGTGCTGAGATCTGGGGAAGTCACTCGCCCCTCCAGATTCAAAACGAGCTCGGACGCCTACTGATGCGTTCACGTCACCGTCCTCAAAAAAACGGGTAACCAAACCGTCCACAGAGATTTTCCCATTCTGGTCTGTGAAGGAAGGGGAATTCTTCGATTTCTCGTGCAATATTTTGCGAGACGTGCTGCAGAATTTCCATGCCGGTTTCAATCGCAAGAACCAAAAAGTGTTGAACTTGACAGGTCTTATGAAGAAATTGCTCCTTTTTGGTCAGGGTCTGCTCGGCGGAAAAACGAGACTAAACGAAAAAGAATCGAAAATAAAAATTAAAAAATCAAAGGAAATAAAAAAAAACCACTATTTTTATTGCATTTTACTCCCGTCATATTCTGGCCCAATGCAGAGTTTCGTGACGGCAGAAACCGAAATCTTACATTTTGAAAGTTCATAAAAGGAATCTCGATGTATAATCTATTTCTTGAAACTTGTTCAATTAAGAACGTTGTGTCTCCTCCATTACTTGAAAACAAAACCTGTCATTTCTCCCTGAAAACGAAACAAAATTTTACAACGCGGAAAAAGGAACCCTGCGCTGAGTATTAAAAAAAAAAGAAGCAATTTCGTTTCTCAACCCTGGTCGCAATTGGGAAGTAGGATGAGATTATAGAAAATTATTAATAAAAAATTCGCCTCCCCCCCGTTTTCTAGACGATGTAAATGTTGAGTTTTTGCAAATGGATGTTGCAAATTTTGGAGGTGGAAAGATTATAGACGAGGCGATTGAGGAAGCAAAACATGCATTTCACTAATTTTCACATTTTGCATCAAGTTCACATGGCCTTTTTTTCAGAGGGAATAGAACAATAGAAAAGACCCGGTGTATTTCACATTTTCCCAGAATCCAGGATTACAGTGATTCTATTTTTCCCACTTCCCAAATCCTCTACCCCGCCAATCGATAAACCTTTTGCGTCGTTCAATGGTCAAAACTAAATGGCAAGATTTCGCTTGAGATTCCAGCAATTCCTTTGAGGATCTGTTGCTGAATGGACCATTCAGCAACAGATTCCAGATAAGGCTTCGCGTATTTTTTTTTATGGCGAAAAGCGAAGTACCTATTTCTTTGGTTTTTACCCTCCCTTCAGTTGACCCGACTAAGAATTTATAGTATTTTGGACTTGACTTAAGCAATTGCTCATCTCTGAACAAAATACGCCAAAAATCGAATCGCGATAATCAAATTAAATCATGAGTGTTTCATTTAATACGAGCAAGAAGAGATTAACTGCTCGTTCCTAATTATACTTTTTTCTGAATTCATTCTGAATTGAAATCGAGTTCGTGTTGAGTCGACAGTCCACACGGGCTAAAATTGGAATCTGGTTCCCCCCCCTCAGTCTAATTCTGGTCCGATCTGCTGATACCTTTAGGTTGACGTGATATTACAATTTCCAATTTCTCAGTGGATGCAGTTTCAGAATTGCCATCCGTTACGAAAAAATAAAAGAAGCTTTTGATGAGTGTGTTACCGGACCACAGCTGCGATTCACTCTTTGTTCGTCCAGCAGCTTGAGACGCCTACCTATCTCGTTATAGTTCGCCGCATTCGAAACCGTTCGTTCCCTCTCGTGCTGGCAGCGGCTGCGGGAACAGAGACCCGTGGATTGAGATGGAGAGCCTCCCTAAAATAGGAGTCTGCATCTCCGTCGTCTCCCTCTCTCGTCGTAGAATTTCATGTACTGCAGCAAAATCGTGATATTGATAATGAAAATATTTTATTTATTCCATGAGAATTGCTCTGCCTATCAGGAATCGATAACTTTTTCTTACAACGCTGGGCGAAGCTTTTCCCAGGCCTTGAATCATTATCATCGACTGCGGTACCCTCGCGGCCAGCCGATCCAGGAATCCTAAGAAAGCACTCAGCCGTTTCGTCCCATTCTGCTCGAGTGCAAGGGGGGAGACGATGGAAATGCGGGACTCGCATGGAGGGTCGGCTTCGCGGGGTGGGTATTCTCGGCAGTGGTCGCGTCGAGGATGCAGGAGACCGGTATGGCTCTTGTTCTGGCATCCGTGTACGAAGATGGGAAGAGTGCTGTTTAGATGGGATGCCTAGTGGAGTGATGACACTCCCGCATTCGCATTTTTGCATCTTTGTTTCGTTCCGTTCCGAGATGCGGACTCGATGGTCTTTACCCGCGTTGGAGACAACTTTCCCAGCAATAGACAGTTGTGAATAATTTTTGCTTTGAAAAAATTTTGAGTTCGAACGACTTTGACGTTTACGAAGAGAGGGAAGAGGATGGAGAGGAAGAAGGAAATGGAAAAGGAGAGGGAGAAGCAGACGACGGGGAACGGATCGGAATTGCACTTGGAGCAACTCAAATGGGAGCCGAAAAGGAAGGAGTACAAGGACAAATCCTCGCAAGGTGAGACCCCGAAATCCGCATGTGGTACTCCTAAGGACAAAGGGTCTTGATCTTGGCAGAGTGCTATAGGAGACATGGATCATAGACTTTTCCTTTCTTATTAATACTTGAACCCCCGCCCCCCCCCCCCTTTCTCCTCCCACATCCTTTACTCGATTTCATCCTAAGTGGATCCAAGGTTTAAATGCAACCAATAAAGATGCAAACGGGAAAGTACATGAATTTTCTAGCGTGTGAATTTGCATACAACTACTCCGGATTGTTGATTGTATGCTTGAAAGACGGTCCTTACTTTCCTCAATATTCAAACTCGATCCAACCAGAAAACAAATGAGAAAATCGACACTAAAAACCAACGAAAATGGATAAGTAAGCGATGACTTGAATATCTGTAGCCTCGAATGCAGGCTACAGGAATCGAGTCAGTCGAATCGGTGTGTATGTTGGACCCCAAGCTGGCTGTGGAAAGGTGGGATCGATGCGAAACGATTCCATCCCCAGATTCGCATGCAAGCAAAACAGGTGTTATGCAGAAAAAAAAGAGGAAATGCATCCCATATGTGTTGACATCACGAGTCCCTGCTCCAAACCACGTCCGAGTGATATTTCCCCCTCATATCTGCACCTCATCATCCCTAGTGAAGTAGGAATAGAATGCGTTTATCGGAGGAACGCAAAGATCCGACGGAGTCCTACGGTAGCTTCGACTGGAGCGAGCCCGATGTGCCCATCCCAGGTGAACCCTGACCCCTCCATCCCTACGAGGCTAATGTTTTGAACATTCTTCCTTGTATTTTGGCATCTCTGACACGGTGTCGATGGTTAAGGCACGAACTGTTTCCGATCGACTTTAAACAAAACGTGCTATGCAGTGCTAAATTATTCATTATTTGAAACAGTATTTACGATACATAAGGGTTGCCGGCGTGATGTCCTCTGTAAATCAGGATGCGTGAAAGTATCGAGAAGGTTCACATATTCAAGATGCTCTTGAATTTCGTTTTAAAACTACTGGGGAAACGCTTCTTCTTTGTTCATTTCTTTGTTCTCGTTGGTAACTGGCAACTTAATGATGACTCTGACACTTGTCATGAATGCGATGCAAAGCGAGATGACGTAGAAGAATGCTCATGCAAAAGCGATACGATGATCTAAAAGAGTTCCCACTTCGTGCAACTGAGTCGACTAACTAGTAGTGAATATTTTTTAGATTGTTTTTTTTTATGGATAGAATCCTGTTAGAAGGGAGATGATGGTGTGCCGTGTTTCCCACAGTTCGAAGCACTGCGACTTTATACACGAGAGAAGAAGAGGAGGCGAAGGAGAAAAAGCGATGGAATAACTCTGGGAGAGCGGGTGGACAGTGGAGCAAGCTCTTCGGGAACTCCTGCGGTGCATGTGGATGCTGGAGCAGGTGGTGGACGATCCTAATTGCCCTTATCATCTTCGTCCTTCTCGTGGTCCTCATCGTCCTTGTCTCGCTTCACGCCTACCAGACCGCCCAATCGCGTAAGATCTCTCCTTCCTTTCGAGCCGTCTTACCTTTTTGAGGAAGTAACCTCGGGCGAGATCGTTCCGTGGGTGAGGGTTTTGGACTTGCAGATGGAACGTGGAGTCGTGGCTCCTCTCGGTTATGGCGTCGTAGAACGCACTGCCGAGGTCGTGCCACTGTGATGCATCGTCACGCGGTGTAATGTAACACGATCGAGGCTTAAAAAGGTCAGCTCGATCGCAGAATTTGTAGGTGTAGGCGTGCTGGCGTCACGTGGCGCCTGGAAAGCCACAGTGACCTGAATAGGTCCTATGATCCATTCCACATCCTTGAGACGCTGCCTTTCGCGCTATTTCTTTTGCTCATATTTGGGATAAGGAAAATGAGTTACATGAAAGAATGCCCCCTTGTACACGATAGACGTGCATATCTTCTGCACGATTCTGGAAGAAAGAAAAGAAGGGATAACAGGCTCTTGCATGAATTTATTGCAACAGAAACGTCGAGTGAATGAGAAAAATGGAATCACAAGTTTCCGAATCGGTTCAAATGGTGCAAGTTGTAGAGCGTCATTGGATAAACTACGGAAGGAATGAAACCGCTTTAAAGGAGAAACTTCAACTTTGCCAATTCGTTCGTGGTGGCTGTTTCCCACGAGTCGTGGAGAGGATCGAAGTTCGAATTTGAATGAAAATTCTGCATCTTACAGAGGATTTAAATACTTTATCTTATAATAATGAAGCACGACCGGTCTGATCCTCTTTGAGACTGCATCTTATTGCCATTTTCAGTCGAACCTGAAACATGTTAGGCCTGCTTCAACCCAAAACCCTACAGGGCCTACTTCTACCTGGTTTAAAACGGAACAACTTTTCCACGGTCCTATTCATGAACGTATGATTGATATAGGTTAATCCCATCTGTCGCGGGCCTGAGCCCGATCATGAAAGTAAGCGGAGATGACGTTCCGCTAAGTTTTTCAATATGAAGGGGGAGCACCGTTCCCACATTCTTTCAGAAGTTCTAAAAAATTATAGCGGAAGTGGGCGTCTGGACGTGAGGGAATCATGCTCAAAGAGTGTGGTTGAAAAATGAAAACCGGAAGATCGATATTGTGGCGTCACGTCACGACGTGGAACATTTTTGGGATGGCTCGTCTTGGCATTAAGGTGTTCTAATTGTCCGGCGAATACCCTAGATGGAGACGAAAAATGACGCTGCAGGCGCGTTCTGCCTCGAATCGATGAGTACACAGGAGAAGATGGAGATCAGCCTTCTTCAAATCGATCGAGGTGGGAGAGCCTCTTATGCGCATGCGCCATCGATGGCTCACCTGGAAAAGGAGCATGAGACAAGCAAATCTGAAGTCAACCTGCTTAACGACCCTGACCTGGCCCAGCATGCTTCTGCTCTTTTTATCACCTCACGCTCGCGTCATGGATGAGGATGCAGCCTCGGGCTACGGCTACCGCCTGTCCCCGATTTACGAGACACTTCTCGGGCATGGAGAATTCTACAAGACCATGCTCGAGGAGGAAGGAAAAGTGGGAACCTTACCTCAGACTTTAAATTCTGTTATTTCCTTCGAAATCCGTTCCGTTATAGAGTAGATCCTGACATTTCCAAAAATTTTGTTCTCAAGAGAAACCGCTCAATTCTATTATTCTCCCCCTCCCTATCCACTCTTCCCCTCTTCATACTTCCTGGACCTTTGTCCAGTTTCTCCTGGACTGCCGCAGATGGCTTGGAAATGCTCACTCGTGTCGCTGGAAGACTCTGAAACGATATGAAGCAGAGATAAGTGTGCACCACGTGACGTCATGCGCACTAAAGTAGTATAGATAGAAAAATAGTGGCCTTTATGACACAAATGGACTGGTCGTAGAGCATGCCATGTTCCTTCCCACTCCCATCTTTTCCTTCGTGAAAGTGCGAGTTTCCTCTTTTAATATTGCCGTTTTTAGAAGAATTATGTTGCTACACGCACAAAATTGCCTGTCAGATACCGAGCGGAGCTGCACAATTATCGATTTTCCCGAGATGAGGGTAGACCGCGGCGACGATCCGTCGTGGGTCGTCAATGTGGGTAGAGACAATTGCGATCTGAACTCATTTACTAAATAATTGTGTCGCGTGAATTCTCAGGAATAAATTCTCTCCAAAATGCACAATATATATTTTTTAAAAGTAGTGTTGCAGATATATATATTTTCCCTCTTTGATATATTTTCTTCCGCCCTTTTCTAGGGAAAATATTATTTTTTCGTTTGGCTTCTCCAAATTTTTTTTCCCTGGGCCGATTCAATTCATCTCTAGAAGGCTTCTCATCCTGCTCTCGCGGTTGTAACGTTATCCTTTGACAGGTTCGACACTAAGGCAACTGTTTTTCGCTATTTTCTCTTTCAGATGAGACCTGCATTGCTCCTACACCATCCCCTATCCAGCCAAATAGCACATGCACGGAAGCAGAATCGCACGAGGCCAAGAGTAAGAAGGGTAGATTTTAAGCTGAATTTCGCATGCAAACGTAATGTCACTTATGTCGCAGTCGCCAAGCAACGTTCTGAAAGCCTTTTAGATGAAGAATGGAATCGGCCCTCTCTGGAAGCATAAAAAAAGTGCAGAAATGGGAGAGAGAAAAAATGGAGGCCTTAATGGTGCATGGGGGTGCATGGGGGTGCATGGCTTCCCTGTCGTGGGATCCCTTCCTCTTCGGGTCATTCCATGTCAAATCGACGCAAAAAAGGAGCAACATGATCTGATGCCCTCCGATTTTGATGAAATATTGGGGACTTGGGTATATTGAGAAACTAATCCGCACTAAATGTCAGCTTTGAGACCAAGAGCCTCTTGAAGTGCTGAAATATGAATATTGCCAAAAAGAGCTGGTTTCTGGTCCGATGGTCATCACTCAAGTACCCATAAGTTTTGTCCTAATTAACATAGGTAGAGGGACTTGAGTAATTTTCAAGCTCTTTCAATGCCCTTGTATATTGTGCGTATTTTATGGAGTTTACATGAAAATAAAGGTCAAAGGGGTTGACCTTTGACCTTTAATTCCCGAGAAAAGGTCATTTTTATTTTGTTTTTAAAATTAGCATGACATTCCCAACTTTTCCTCTTGAGATGCACCAAAATTTCAAGTTGAGGCTCCAGTGGGATCAAAAGATACAAACAGTAATGTGAAAGAAAGTGATCAGAACATGCAGAGAATGTGGCAGAAAAGTCTGGATGCATCCGCTTAGCGACGAATTAGTAGATAAACCTCTTCACTTGAGGTAGTTGAATCCATCATCAATATTCTAAAAGTATTTATAAAAGCAGCATTTATGTACTGCACTGATGAATATAATAACGCATGATGTATTTTCTTAAGTGGACCATATGTGGGTTAGATGTTGTTCGAGTACTTTTGGGTTATACTGATAAAAAAAAAATTAGTGGCCTGCGGCCGCTACGCTGGCGGTCTAATATATTGAAAGTATACCAAGGTTTTTATGTCCTATAATGGCATAGTCTTGCAGGCTTTGCGTGTTAGGCCGCAGATGAGTGACAACCATTCGCCACCGCTTTCGGCCTCTTTCAAATTTTATGGCCTAACCTATGGCCCAGAATGGCAGAGCCTTGTAGACCTGGCACTTTAGGCCGTGGATGGCCTGGAATGGCATAGCATCGTAGGCCCCGCACGTTATGGGTGATAGCCACCACAACTTTCGGCCTCTTTCAATTAAAGTATTAGATTCGATAGATACTACTGGGCTAAATCGGAGGTTCATACGCACGCACGAACGCGCATGCAGCTTCAATACGTTTTTAATATATAGGATTAGCGACGAGTGGGAGCAAATATGGTGTCCAAATCGCTCCTCACATTACCTCTACTATAGTTATACCTTGTGCGTTATCACGCAACAACATGCGCATCACGTGACGTCATGTCATGTGAGCAAATGTGACTCACTACGACCGTCTGTTTGATGACATGCTGATGCGTTGAAAAGATGCGTATGGGAATTCTCTGCTGGTGAGTCTGGCATTTCCCGACGATTCTCCAGATGAATATTTCCAGGACACGAGGGAAAGTGCTGAATGAGTCACCAGAGCACCTGAACACGAACGATAACACGACTTTCTAGGTTCAAATCGGAAGCCTAAGATCAATGGAGATCCTCATCGTTCTCTCTGTACGTCCCAGTGCAAGGCTGGGATGGCGCATCTGGCGCAGCCATGAACAACTTATTTTTCCAAGAAAGCGGAGAATGACGTCACCGGAGAAGGGCGAATCTGATCCTGAAAGCCCTTGTTTATGCCCTTCTCTCTCTCTCTTTGTCCTCCCCGACGGCTCCGATGGCCTTTCAGTCTCCCTCACGCCCGTGAATCCGTCCCTCAAAGCGCTATACACAATGAATCGTGAACCTAAATTCAGTCCTCTCTCGAGTTCGTAGGATGAAGAGGGTATTGCTCACTCGGCTGCTTCTCGTCCTCTTCGCTGTCGGTGAGATTCGTTCGTTACAATTAATCTAGGCCATCATTTCGGGACTCACACCCGTAGGAAGGCTGATCGACGGTCGAATCACCGTGCCGGAAAAACAAAATTTTTGAAAAAAAATCCTTTTTGAAATGGAATTACAAAGGTTCGAATTCTGTCGATCTGCAAGCGAAATGCAAACAAAACGAATAGAATTAAATCCTGGCACTGCCATGCATCGTGACTCCATCTGAAAAACTATCGAATCAAAGAAAACATCTGAAAATCATAAAATTGAAGTTGATTCGAATCTTAATAGCTCGAGCCTTGCCACCTGAACGCGGCTTTTTTAAGTCCGTGGACAGAAGGTGACTCACTTCAAAGTGTCTGCGACAGATTGCGAAGGAGACAAAAAGCATGGAGAAGATGTGGGGGGAAGGACGAAGCCTTTCGTTCCTCCTCCTCCAAAGCCGGAGGAATTTCCATGGCAGAGCCAACGTCTTCCCCTGTCCATCAAGCCACTTAAATATCATCTTCTGCTACAACCAAACTTGGAACTGAAGCACCTGAAAGGTTCGTTCGGACTCTGCAGCGGTCTCAACCATGTTCGCAGCGGGATCATGGAATCTTTGTGAACGCAGGTCAAGTGGAGGTGACGGTGATGGCGATGGAGAAGACGGACTTGGTAGTATTCCACGCCAAGAACCTGAACCTCACCTCCATTGCCGTTTTGGATGCCAATCAGGAAATGGAGACGAAGGAACTGAAGATCTGGGAACCCTGGGACCAGATCGCCCTTCGCCTTCGCACTGCTCTCGAGGTACCCCCTTTTTGCTTCTCTGTTCCTTCGTTCATCCAGACGTCTATATCTCCGTCGTGTGTGCCGCGTAGGCGGGCAGGAACTACAGCGTGAAAGTGGTGTTCGAGAGGGACATCCCCGAGTATCCTCTGGAAGGCATTTACATGAGTTACTATACCGATCCTCAGGGACGACGAATGTGAGTTCCACGTCTCCCTCTCGCGTTCTCCGTCAACCCACCCATCAATCATCAATTGAATCTGTAGGAGCATAGGAATTGAACCATATGAAAACGGAGGGCGGTCATATTTGTAGGACTTTAAGAGAAAGAGAAAAGACAGTAAAGTAAATGCCTACAGGCACTGGGTCGCCTATGCTTTGGTCAGACCCTTTCCTGAGCCTTTGATCTCAAAAGGTGACGCCTCTCTCAAGGTATTATTTCGGGTCATTCAGACTATCCAATAAGGTTTGAAGACTTGCGACAAGACTTTCTGGATTATTCAGTTGCCATAAATGTATAATTGAGGAGTTCTCTGGAAAAAAGGCTCAAATGCCCATACGCCCTTTTGCCATATCCATGTCCATACGCTACTTGAGGTGACTTGTCATGGGATAGGGTGGTTAGCATGAAGTTAAAATGCGTATTCAGCAAAGGAGAAGCAGATTTTCCTATGCTTTCGATGTACCGGGTGGTGCAAAAAAAAAAAACGCGTCGTGTTTGACGCCTTATAAAATCCGTTGTGGGGATGATCGAAGTTCGTGATATTTTCATATTACATTGGAAACACCACAAAATTATTTTTCTGAAAGTTTCATGTACCTAAGTTGTCTGAATAAATATCGACAGTCGCTCAAAGTGGAGTCATAAAATGGACCTTACCGCGCACGAAGTGGATGGAGTTTCAGGACTGCTCGAATGACTTCTCTCCCTTGACGTTATGAATACCGCTGTTTACGCCAGTTCTCATCGTAGTATTCTGTGTGGTATCGATTCTGATGCTACAATGTGCGACAGTAGCACTATTCTACGATGTGTTGAATACTACGATGAGAACTGGCAAAAAAAAAGCGGTATTTATGACGTCAATGTAGAGAAATCATTCGAGCGGTCCTGAAACTCCATCCTCCTCGTCCGCGGAAAGGTCCACTTTATGAGTAAACTTTTGACGACTGTCGATATTTATTCAGACAACTTAGGTTCATGAAACTTTCAGAAAACAAATTTTATGGTGTTTCCAACGAATGAAAATGTCACGATCCTTTATCATCCACAACGGATTTTATAAGGCGTCAAACACGACGCGTTTTTTTTTTTTGCGCCACCCGGTATAGCAGGCCAACTTCCTGAAAATTTCAATATGGCTGCCTCCATGAATATTCTATTAGCACCTGCATCGCTGAACGATTTTGGTGGAATAATTCCATTCTTTTGAGCTGAAAGTGAGAATGAGGAAGAAGCCAGATAGGAGGAAAGGGGAAGTAAGTGGCCCAGTCATTCAAGCCTCTGAAAGGATGCGAGAAGTTGGCGAAATCCATGAAACAGTTGGAGATTCAGATGATGGATAAAGTAATAATGGATTACTGATGAGTAATTGATGAATGAAACTTGTCTTGAATATTGACCCTTTTATTGCCATTCCTTGAGGAAGAGTTGATTTGAAATATCTAGATGTATTTCTTGGTAAATTATGATATTTAACTGGAAGGAAGGGGTGAAAGACTGGTTGAAAAAGGTTTCAGCAACGCGGATATTGAAAAAGAGCGTATGTGCATGAAGACTTTCTGCCTGCAACCTAGCAATATGAGATAAAGAAATTCGTTAAAACCCCAAGTTCAATTGGAAAAAGGTCTAAGATTCCACTTAACTGAAAACAGTTTTGACCAGCTGCAGATTAACTGTGGGAAGTTTTTGCCATTTATCTCGAATTGCATCTCTTGCACATATGCCCTTTTCCCAGAGAACTCCTCAGTTGCAAATCAAATGAAATTGCAAAATTTAAATTTTTTAGTGAGCTAAAATATTCGTTAATATATTAATGTCATATGAATGAGTGGGTCATGCAATCGCTTCCACCGTGATAGACGTTGCCCGAGGGTCTGGCCAAAGTGGGACCCGAGGGTGTGATTTTCCGTTTTTCTACATTCGTCTGTCTTTCCTATTTTTCTTTCACACATAAGTTTCTTTCGTATACCCCCATGTAAAACTTTATGCAGGTAGACCACACTCTTCATTCGTGGTGCCACAATACAAACTCTGAAAATGTATGGATAAGAAAGGAATAGGAAAGGAAAGATAAGGGATAGGAATAGGAAATGAAGGATAGGAAAGGAAAGATAAGAAAGGGAAGTTATAAGACCTTTACTTAGAAGAAGAGACGTAGCTTTCTGCATTTACTCAATTTCATGAAGAAGTACAAGAAGTACAAATGCCTCTCTCCTTCGAGGAACCTCTCAGCAGCCTCATTGAATGAAGGACTTTGAGAGGTTCTACGACTCTCATCGTTTCAACGTATCTCTGCGATCAATTATGAAATTAATTAAGATGCTGATGCTGGGAATTCAGGCAGGTGATTTCGTCGCACTTCGAGCCGACGCACGCTCGCCAGGCGTTCCCCTGTTGGGATGAGCCGTCCTTCAAGGCCGTCTTCTCAATCTCGATTGCGAGAACCAAGGGTCTGCAAACCCTGTCCAACATGCCTCTTTTGAAGACGGAGGACCTTGGATTCTACCAGCCCAACATCGTAAGTCCCTCTCTGCCTATCTCACATCCTTGTAATGATAAAAATTGGAGGTCGACGACAGGAAAATCTGCGAAATGACGTTGCACATTGAAAGGCTTGAAATATTAACCCCTTAAGTGGGGAATTTCTTGGAGAGAAGCCTACCACCGGAACCAGACATTTTTTTCGTGAGAATAACAATTCAAGTTTGTGTGAAAAATGTACCACACTTTCTCGAGTTTATACTCTTACTTCGAGTTTCGAATTCATATTTAACTCAAACTCGAAATATAACAGGACGAAAAAATGCCAAACCACCCTTAGGAGAATTTCACCATGATGGATTATATACGTCATACCCACTGAAGGGGTTAATAAATAAATAGGAAGCCTCTGGCTGAACACTGATGGAAAGGGAAAATGTTACATTGAAAATCAACAAATTAGTATTTATAATGAAAAAGTTGGTAATACGAGTTGATGAAGTGAAAGTGACAGGAAGAGGTTTCCTCATCTCACACATTGAGTGCACTCGTACATGAATGTCGCAGCAACGGGACGATTACGCGGAGAGTGTGCCGATGAGCACATACCTGGTCGCGATTTGCGTCATGGACTTCAGCTCGAGGACTGTGAGCACTCGGAGGAACGTGAGGGTATCCACCTGGGCACCGAGTCACCTCATCAACCAGACCATGAAGACGCTCCAGTACGCGGCGAACATCCTGGACTTCTACGAGCAGTACTATCACGTCCGATACCCCTTGCCCAAGCTCGGTGGGTTCGATACGTTCTTAGGGACTAAAACGTTGACGCGAAGGATCTCTAAGTCGATCGTGTCTCTCTAAAGATCTGATCGGGATTCCAAACTTCAAGGCGGGGGCGATGGAGAACTGGGGGTTGATCACGTTTCGGATGAACTTGTTCGCTGCCTCCAATGCCTCCTCTTCGTCTTATGCTCAGCAGAGTGTTCTTATCACCGTCGCCCACGAACTCGCCCATCAGGTATATGTAGACCTACTCTTCTCTTTGTCTCCTCCGTGCGCTCATATCGTAAAGCATTGCCTCCGTCGAAGAAAATAAGTTTTCGTACAAAGGCAATCGGTGATTAATAATGTTATAACAGACCAGAGAATCAATTGATCAATGCCTCCATCGAATCTTCAATAATCAAACATTGCATTACAAAATAAATAAAATAAAGTAAAATTGATGAGTGCATTTGTCAGTTATCGACAAACAATCAAAATACACTCCGTGACGGTGTGTCTGGGCGTAACAGTGGTTCGGCAACTACGTGACGATGGCGTGGTGGGACGACTTGTGGCTGAACGAGGGCTTCGCCGCCTTCATGGAATACTTGGGGGCTGGCTCACAGGAACCCGACTGGGAAATCCCATTGCAGTTTTATTCCCAGAATCACCTGTATGCCTTCAGCCTGGATCACATGGTTTCTTCGCACCCGGTCTCGGTACCTGTCGAAACCCCTGAGGAGGCCAGAGCCCTCTTTGACTACATCTCATACCAGAAGGTCTGCGGAAATACTTCGGTCTTTGGCATATCTTGCTGCTGTGAAAGTTAAAAATTAGCCGAATTGCTTGTATTTCCCTCATGGTATTTTATTTTATGATTTATTTATTTCCCCAGGGAGCTTGCCTATTGAGGATGCTGTCGCTTGAGATAGGGCAACAGAATTTCTCTTTGGGGATACAGAATTATCTCAACAGTCATCGATACGGGAACGCCAATACGAGCGACCTTTGGAATTCTCTCGAGCGATTCTCCGGACTCCAGATCGAGGCAAGGCCGTTTTCGAAAAAAAAAAAGCGTTAATGATTGAGAACGCATGCACTGTCTGTGTGCATGCGTGGGGGTGTAATGACGCTTGAAAGAATGCTTTCGACAAAAAATTGAACGAGTAGTTATTGTTAGAAGTGACGGATTGAGGCAAAATCTTGGAGATCTCGCATAGATCGATAAAAGAGAGACCTTGGAGGTAGATGGTCCACCAACCACAAGTACTTTTATGTCCTCGTCCAGGAAATAATGGAGACGTGGACGAAGCAGCAGAGTTACCCACTCGTGAGCGTGCGAATGTCCTCGGAGACGACGGACGAGGGGAACGTCGTGATATTGGAGGCACGGCAGACCCGCTTTCGGACCCCGACCCGAGATAGGAAGCACGCCTCATCCTCGCTCGAGAGCTACCCCATGTCTCCCATCTACCAGTACAAGTGGCACATCCCACTCTCATGCTTCCTCTACTACCCGAATGGCACTTTGTCCATCGTCAAGCAATGGATGCACATGAACGACTGTGAGTCTCGCTCTTTCCACGAAGTCCTCAAACTACGTGGGTCATTCCAAAAATTTCTTTCGCTCTCTTGCTGTATTGTTACCTTGTAAATTTTGAGCTTGAAAATTTCTAACTTTAATCTGACTCATTTTCATATGTTTCCATAATTCAGATATTTGTCAGCTATCCTAACGGAGGTTATTGCTGGAGTTGAATCAAGTCTACTTTTGACTGTTCGTTTTTACAACAATCATTCAGTCGAGATGACGTCAGGACAATCATTAAATTCTACGTGATACTGGAAAAATCTAGGAGACTGTTCGCCATCTAACCAAACTGTCCGACATTGATACCGTCAGTTTAAGGAGGGTTGCGCATCAACACATGATGCAAGTTGCTCTTGTCGTCCTGTCCAAGCATCCTCCGAGTTTGGTCATATGAGATTTTCGGTAAGAACGCGGAACACCATGGTTTTAGACATGCCCAGTCTGTCAGCGAGCTGTTCACATGTCTGCTGTCTGTCTTCCTCAAGGGCTTTACGAACACAACCCACCATATCCTCGGTGGATACTTACACAGACGACCAGAGCGACTTGCATCATGTGCTGATGCACAACCCTCCTTAAACTTACGGTACCAGTGTCGGACAGTTTGGATAAATGGTTCATAGTTTCCTAGAGCCGAAGTGAGCAGCTCGTAGATTTCGGGACAGAATTTTTACAGTATCATGTAGAATTTAATGATTGTCCTGATGTCATCCCGACTAAATGATTGTTGTAAAAACGAACAGTCAAAAGTAGACTTGATTCAACTCCAGCAATAACCTCCGTTAAGATAGCTGACAAATATCTGAAATATGGAAAGATATGACAATGAGTCACAGATTAAAGTTTGAAATTTTCAGGCTCCAAATTTACAAGGTAACAATACAGCAAGAGAGCGAAAGAAACGTTTGGGATGACCCACGTACGTCACTCTTTGTGAATTGTTACTTATGCAGGCAGTACAGGTGGGCAAAGAACGTGGAACTCTTTACCCTCGCCATGAAACCCCATCGCGTCATAACGTGTGACACGAATATACCATTCCATGAAAGTGTTGTAGGTTCATTTTCTGGCACGAAAGAAAATAAGTAAAGCGCCAAATAGGGATTCATAATTTTCTTCTGCCGAAGAACTGAACCACCGGCGAAAGTCGTCAAACTTATGAGGAAATTGACATGACAAAAAAGTCAAAGATAATTTGTTTCCTGGAACCGCGATTTGAGACGTCGAGGTCGCATTCAGAGCAGCGCATTTATGACTTATTGATCCGGTAGGATGACAGTCACATAGACAACCGAGTGAAAAACAATCGTGAGCTTCCCGCGAAAAACAGTCAGTGTTGAACGCGAATGGGACTTAGAAGACAGCGACCGGGGGTCGGGTAAGGGAGTTTCAAACGATCTGAATGTTTTTGCCGTGGCTACCATTTCCTTCCAGTCTTGCGTGTGCATCCCGGCCTCGCATGTGCATCCCGGCATCGCATGTGGATCCCGGCATCACATGTGCATCCCGGCCTCGCATGTGGATCACAGCCATACAGGTGGATCATTGGCGAGGTCAGATGTAGGGTCCAATGGCCTTGCCCTGTTTTTCTGTCTTCGTTTTATCCTATCCGTCTGAAAGAAACCCTGCAGCAGTTCTGTGGAACGGTATGTAATTTTGCATGCATGAAGATGAGCGAAAGTATGGACTCACGAGTGGAAAATTAATGGATTCTAGCTGAAACAGAGAGAACGTTCGGCACGAATCCGGAGTATGCTCTCCCTGGAAGGCGCTAATTTTTCGAAACTTTGGTGAAAGAAGCCGAACATGACTAAACAGTTGAATGAACCAATTAACAGGCTGAAAGGCTGAGGAATGCGAGAAACTCTCGTGAAAGTGAAGAGATGTCACTTTCGTTTTCTCAGCTAGCCTATTTCCATTTGTGAGAATCCAGGCAACACTTCCAGATTGCCCCTTGACACTGCACACGGTGTGAATTCAGGCCCAACCCTGATTTTGCTCAAGTTGGAACGAAGGAAAATCAGGCCGTGATTAGAAGAGCATGCTCTCCTAACCCGGATTCTGGCTTGGTCTGTATTCACGAAAGGGCCTTGACACCATTTTCGCATTAGCTGAGTAAACTCCATGCATAATTTATTTTTTTCTAGGATACCTGAAGAGGATGCAAAGAGAGGAAAGACAGACATAATTCCCCGTGGGCCTAAGTGTAACTGCTGAAGAAAAAAAAAAACTTTTCAAGAGTGTGCAGTCTCATAGAGTACTCTATCTGCTTTTCCTCGACGCTATAAAGGAGAGTAGTCGAATTTGGGCACCTTTTGGCCACAGGTTACCTTTTTTTTTTTTACAGTAATCTTCCTCCGAACAAGTAAAATGAGGACCAGAGGCACGTGTCTCAACGTTGCGAATTTTCAACTTGATGCGTTCCCTTTTAGAATGAAAATACTCCCTTTCCCCAAACATCTTGCAAGATCAGGTTATTTGGGCAGGGGGTTGAAGTTGGCCGTATTCACTTTGCTGAAATTTTACAAATTTCCGGTTTTCATCGAACTACCAGATTTTTATTAGAGAAACTTGAATGATATGTATCGAACATGGCGCACTGCCCTGAGTAAAGCCTTTTCACCTCAATTGGAATATATTTCCTGACACGTGTAGTGTTGTATCTGCAGATGAATAAGTCGTCGGATTGGTTTGCCTTTATGATTCTGTCACTTTTAGACCTACATTCAGTGGAACAACTAAGAAAAATGTAATCTGCGGTTTGGATATTTTGACATGGGGTCCAAATAAGTCACCCTACCTTGTCCAAATTATATTCTGGTAGAGAACATTTTTTTGTTAAATGGAAAAATCGCTTCTCGTTTTTATTTTATTTTTAAGTATTGGCGCGCTCACAAAGCGGTATGCTACCCTAAGGTCACACTCAGCTGCAAAAAAAAAATAAAAAATGACGCAGCTATGAAGTATTCCAAAGAAATTATTTATGAAGCGACTGTTACTTTGAAGTCACATTCATAAGCTATAAGAACAGGTGAGCAGGAAGTATCAAAACTGGATATTTTTACATCACATCACAAATAAGTAAATACATGAGGCTGACGTGGGAATTACACCTCCAACTAAGCACAACTTTCAGCTGAGTAAACAGTTCACTTACTGAAGCAACTCTAAAAAAAAAGGGGGGGGGGAAGGAGTTTTCGAGGTATTAATTGAGCTATCTTACTTGGGAAACAGTCTCTCTGCTGTATTTCACATACTATGGTCGGATCCTTTCTGTTCCGCTTCAGCGTCACCGTTCCAATTTTACTTTTAGAAGGGTTGCCCGAATTCGACCACTCTCCTCTATCTTAAGTCAAACAGGTTCCCAGTTAATTCCTCGGTGGACCAGTTCCCCTGATGTCACAAATCCGCGACCGCAAGGTCTTGAGCATGATTAAATTCCTCTCCTGACTTATTCAAAATTTCGACACCAGCTTTTGCACTAACCCTTTTCTATTGTGTGCTCTCAGTATCTCTCACAATTTTCGCAACCACCTTGCGCGCTTCAATACTTCCAGGCAGTGAGGCATGATGGTGCTGTTTTCGTCCTCTCACGATCTGCCCTCCTGTTGAGGCTCTGTAACTGTAGTTTCCTTTGTTTCTGCAGTAGAAGCACTCTCGATGTCTCCGTCCTTCCTTGCTCATTTTATTCTTCGTGAGGACATTGCCCTCAAGAACGAGAAGGTTCTTTATCTTTTCGCGCTTCACGAACTTCATATTTCACACTGTCCGAGAACTGACCACTTCATGATCTGCTTCTTAAACCAACTTACTTTTCCAGATATGTTTCCATTTTTTTATCGCGATAGACATCTTGTCGACTGCCTCATCTCTGGCGGCTGAGAGGATTATCCTGCTATCATTTCTGTTTCTGTTAACCTTTTTTTTTCTTTCCCGTGAGTCTTTATCTGACTGGCATTGTATCGACAGTGAATAGTCTAACCAAGTCCCCGAGGTTGGAAACAAAAGGCGTTATGGTGTCCTTCACTCCAGGAGAGGATTAGCGAATTTTCCCTTTCTTTCCATTCGCTTAGGCCCCCCGCCCCGTCAATCCGGCCTGGTAGGGGGCGGCTCCATGTCCTCCCCATCCCCTGATGCGGTTGCGGTGTGACGTTCCTTGTTCCAAAATATACGAGACGAGAAATTTTGATTGGGAAAAAACCTGAAAATGAAAATGGATCTCAGGTCGTACTTCAAATGCTTCATCTCTTTCCTCAGGCAATAAACGACAGTGGGTCACTCAAAATAGCAGAAGGCAGTCCTTTTGTTTCTTACTGCTCAATTTCCGGGAAGATAGATTCGAAGAAGTTCCAACTTAGCGATATGGCCTCCGAGAAGTGCGGACCTGAAACCTGCTAACATCTTGAGGGGAATCAGGGAATACTGCACCCAACTTTGATTTCGTAGAGGAATTGCATGTTGGTGTGCAGGTGGCATTTCGAACCATCAGGGGAGCGCCAATTTTCCAGCGCGTAATAAATACATAAATTCCTGCGGGGGGACAACAGACCTTTTGCCCCCCTCCCCCTCCCGACCTCTTGAGGAGGGCTGCCGTTCCTCCTCCCCTAAGCTTCGTTTATCCATGCCAACCATACTCTAATTGCTCCGCCGAATGTGGTGTCGAATGCAGACAATTGTGCACAACTAAGAAAAGCACACGGACATATCTAATCGACAATGGTGTTACGACCTGGGACTTTTGGCCCACCCTGTGGAGTCCTTTCGGACTGGTATAGAAATCGGACCGGAAAATGAGGCTCATTCTTCACGATTTCTGTAAATCTATCCGTCAAGGTGACCCCGTGTTCCGATGCAACTACGACTGGCTCGACCGTTGACGAAGTTACAAGCCCTCAAGGGGTGGAAAATGCCTACATGCGAACCTTGCATTTTGGCCTAAGGGAGCGGAGGGTGAGAACAGGTTTCCTTCGAAGGTCGTCAGGTCAATGTTCATGTTGACATCAAGGGGGGTTCTAATTATTTTGGGAATCGGACCACGGTGTTTATCCAGAGGGGGCTTTTGAAGCCACGAGAAAGTCTGTCTGTGCTAATGAGGCTACCAATTATGAGAGCAGTGGATCATCGCGGAATAACACCGAAAAGAATAGCATCGACACGGAACTGCTTCGACACCTGCGAACGACGGAATGACTCCGACAGGAACAACGTCGATACAGAAGTATCTCGACACGAGAAAATCCTGTCTAAATAATTCTGTGTCGGTGTTGTTTCTTTCGATGATGTTCCGTGTCGGTATAAATCCGAAAGCCATCTATCGAAGCAGATCTGTTTCGGTCTATTTCTGTCGACGTATTTCCGTGTCGATGCCATAGCATTTCTTGTCGAACTACTTCTGTGTCGATTTTATTTCCATCAGAAATGGCAGGGTTCACATGGCACTGTAAAGATGTCGCACGAAGCCACTTTCAGTTAAGACAGTTGATAACTGAGGTTTACCTCTCGGGTTTGGGGAAAAAGCCACCCTGGTATAAGACCCCAGAATTCGCATCGACCGTAGGAGACTGTCAGATATTCTTGACCCGCTTTTCCCTAACACGTTGACCGCTGCGACAATGCTGGCCTATTGATTTTCCCATTCAGTGAGGCGCACCGGTGCGCCTCGTGGCAGTCAACCTGTTAAGCGCTTCACTTTTCCCTCACCAATGTCATGAAAGCTTTTCCGTCTACGTCCCAATACCGAAACTTCCGAATCCGAATCCCAAATGCTCTCTCCCTCGTCTTCCCCGTTTCATCTCTTTCTTGGGGTATTGGATCCGGTTTAGCGAGGTTGGAGTTGTCGTCGGCGCCGCTCTGGGTCAAATGCAACGTGAATGCGACGGGGTTCTACCGAGTGAAGTACTCCAAGGACCTCAGAGATGCACTGGCGCACTTCCTCAAGGACAACGTCACCGTTCTTCCTCCGTTGGACAGGGCTTCCGTCCTCTCTGATGCCTTCGCCGAAACAACGTGAGTCTCTTTTTTTTCTCATTATTGTTTTCACTTGAAAGGTGGGAAAGGATCGGACTATCTGCTGAGGATTGGGAACATTTTCCGGATGGGAAGAACACCGTGACGTGGGAGGGAGTGACTGATATCATTTGGCGGAGTCAAAAAGATGGCCTTGTTATTAAAATGTGTTTTCTTTAGTGATTGAAAAAAGTCTGACACCTTGGGTGGCTGGAAACATATTTTCCATGAATGGTAGCCAATTCCGGAATTTGTATTGATGTACCGTGACAAGTAGACCGGAAACATCAGCAGCTGCATTAGTCACGTGGCCATGTGGTGTCAACCAATAGGAGAGCTTCATATCCCTCCTCTCTCACGGGAGTGTCGAAAGCTGCGTTGTTAAGCAAAGGAACGCTAGATGTCACTTGTGGCCAACACCACTCCGGGTTCTTTCAGTTTCAGTCAGCGTTTTATGAATCTAAAACTGTCCTGAATTTAGCAAGTATTTTTCGAACACGTATTCCCCGTGATTTTTTGGTGTTTCATATATTGTACTTTGATCTTTTAAATTTCTATTTTTTTACAAGTATAATGCGTTTGTGTATTTAAAGTACGGTATTATGCCAAATACTCAAGGCAAAAGAACAGTGATTAAGTGCACAGTGCTTAAGTGAATGAGGATTGCATGAATAATGAGAAAGCAACCATTTTAGATTATTTAAAGGTGCGCCTTTCGCCGAACTTGGAAATTCGACGTCATCCCCTTTTCTGTCATCCATAAACACCGGCTGTTTTTTCCCACCTTCTGCCTCCTCAGTCGTCTCGTTATTAATGGTACTCGTTAATGGTGCTCGTTATGGACTTCGTGGGGTGCCACAACTCGCGATCTCGACGAATGCTCTGAATGCGGATCGAGCAAGGATTCGGAGTACGCGCCACGCCCTGATGCCTTAGAAGTATGCGACGGTCTTTAAGGGCAAGGACGACGAGATCCGTTTCTCGTCCCCACAGGAAGCGGCCATCCCGTTATGAAACCGAATGACTATTTGATACCAGCGAAATGCGTCGCTGCCTCTGTCATCAGTCATCGATGGCCTCGAAGAAGTGAGAGAAGGGCGAGAATGAAAAAACCGGTTCCATGAGATTCTCTTTCTCCGTCTCATTGTTATTCCAAGCTGAGGAAGCTGGATGTGGCGAAACGCATGATGCAGCTGTGCATCTGCTGATGTCACCGTTCCGCTTGTATAAGATTCTTTTTGGGGTCATCTAATAAACATGCATTGTTTGTCCGGGAGACGCGGAGGCACTTGCCTAGTGCAATCGCGATTCTTCCACCTTTTCCCTGAGATCCCGAAATCCGTCTCGCTCGCGTGATGGCGCTTGACGTTGGGAACGATACTCATTTTTCCAGTATCGACCTTATCGACCAGGGAATCCGCACCGGAGCTGAATTCTGTGAAACGCCTGCGAAAGTCTGAAGAGTTACGAAACAGCTTTCCTTGGCTGGCCCCGCGCTGGTGAAACATTCTCGTGAAGAGTACATCATACACGTATGATACATGCTTCATTGGATGAAACAAATAGCGAACAATGGAGTACCGTACACTGGTGACGCCGTGCACTTCAACTCGTTGAAGTCGCGTTTCATCCAATGAAGTTCGTATGATATATGCTACAGGAGAATGTTTCACCAGTGTGCCCAATTAAATTTTAACATGTACAATTTTCGACTCTCCAATCTCAGGCCGAGTGGTCGAATCTACTCTGAATGAAACAGAATCTTTCTAAAGCAGACTATTTATGGAAGTTCGATCAGGCGAAGCGCCTTGCATATCCCAATAGCCAGTAAATTGCGAAGAAGGCCAATTAGGAATACCCGGAATGACTCGAAAGAGAATCATGAGGTTCCTGAAAGCCGCCTTCTAGAAATACAGTCGAGGAGAAGGTGGGACAGGAAAAGAGATAGAAGCAACTCCCGAAGCATGTGATCGGGAAGAAGAGAACCACGAAGGCAAGTCACGGAGTGAAATGAGATCTTTCTGCGCTCAAAAAGCCTTTCACATCAAGGGACTGGGGCAGAGGAGGTGAGGGTGGAGGACATTGGGGGAGAAGGAGGAGGCAGGTGGGTGTATCCAGTCAGAGACGGGAAGGCACTTGCCATGCAAGTGATCAGCCAAAGGAACGTCCTCGGCACGCTCAAACTTTCATTCTCAATGACACAGTGACCTTAGCATTTTCAAATGAAACTCTATTGCTTATATGGGCTCCTTGAGGTATACGTACAGCAAATTTTCTCCGCACAACCTTTCGCGTATTCTACTTATGGTGGATTCTTCGGAAATCCAGGAAGGATTTCGGTGTAAATAATGAACGTTTAGCTACGAAATTATTAATTTACTGATTACTGTACAAGACCTATTGCTATGCCAAATTTCACCTCTCCGATCCTCACAGTTTCCAAGATTTTACGAGCTTTTATCACTGGAAAGGGGTGAGAGGAATGTTACTGCTTTCGCTTCAATGCAGCGGGGGGAGAACAAACCCATCGATGCTTGATGGTAGAAGTGCCCGACATCAAGCCGCATTGAATCTTCCCGTGGGTGAGGGAGAGCTGTGGTGGGATATTACCATCTCTGAAGGCTTTCATGCATGTGGCTAGTGAAACTGAAATATTATATGAATAATTCCATCCCCCTGGGCACTGAATGAGCAACGCATTTTCCTTACGAAGTTAACAATGTCCACAAGCCCCTTGTTTTGCCCCTTCCCCCTGCCCGATTTCTTTTCCTTTTTTCGTCCCACTGAGAAATGTCTCTGCTGCTACAACCGGCGCCGCAGGGGGATCCGTAAACACTTTTTCTGACCGGATTAGGGGGGGGGGGGATTCCCCAGAAGTTTGTGCACGAAGGACAGAGAATTCTCCAGAAAATGTCCTGAAGATATCAATCGATGTGAGCTTCGCTTGACAGCGGACATTCTAAGAACGCCACTAATGATCCCGTCTCCGCCGCTGAATAGGCTGGCAGATGAGCCGGGTAGCGTGGCCACAGCCCTGGAGATCATGGAGGACATCCTGAGAAAGGAGGTGACCTATGAAGTGTGGGAAGCGGGGATCTTCCATCTCCTCGAAATAGATCGCATACTCATGCTCAACTCGGCTCAGACCGAGTTCCGCGAGTTCCTGGACCGCATCTTCCGACCCGCTTTGCGGAAACTCGACTGGAATGACTCTGGCTCCCACGTCACCAAGTCTGTGAAGCCTTCATCTCATTCTCTATAACATTTTCGATGTAGTCAACCCCCCGCCCCAATGAAGTTTCAGATAACTTTATTTTCCCGATTCAAGTAATACACTTCCTAAGAAAATCGGTGAACCGATCAACATTTTGTGACTTTGTTTATTGTCAGCAACCCTTAACTTGATCAGGCTTGAATTTTTCTCGAGATATGGTATTCTGTTCCTGCCTCCATGGCTTGGTTTTTGTCTCGAATATAATGTATGTGTTTGCTGTGTGTGTGGGGAAGGTTGTTACGAGACTCGGTGTGTCACCTGGCAATCCAGATCGACATGGCCGAGGCCCTCGACCGCGGCCACCAACTCTTCAACGCATGGAGAAACGGTTCGGCCTTTCCCCGTTCACGCATAAGTCGGGTTCACTCGTGCGAATATACTCGCTTCAGAAATAATCACGGAAGGGTGCCAACCTGTGTTTCTACACGTTCTCTTGGAAATAGGGAACTCTATTATTGGGAAGTACTATATCGTCAATGACAAATAGAAAGAGCAGTTATGGTCTGGTGGTCACTATCACGCGAATAACTCTGATGCGAGTGAATCGCATAAAAACCCGCAATGTCATCCCCCTACCCCCTACCCCCTTAACAGAGCTTTGCTTCACTCTGGCTTGGACTCGATAGGAGCGGAGATGGCGCCGAATCTCCTATCTTGCGTCTACAAGGCCGGGATCAAGAGGGGGAACGAGGAGGAGTTCAACTTCCTATGGGACAAGTACCAGTTGGAAACGGACCCTCAGGAGAAGGTCAATTTCATCAAGGCCCTTGCCTCCTCCAGAACCTCTTCTCGTCTCCAGCGGTACTCATGCAAATTTACTTTCACTAGCTTCTCTCCGCGGCAAGGCTCAGCTAATGAGAAGACGAAGCTGAAACTGCCGAGTGGGGCCATGTGGTAGTTTTATCGCCGATTTATGTTCTTAAGAATTTCCCATAAATGTGATAATGGAAAAATCGGGTCAACATGAGAAGAATAAGAGGCACGTGGTGTCAGATTGCTTACACTACCAAATGCAGTTCTAAAAAGAACAAGCATGGAGCTGTTGATCAAGCATGCTTTTAGCAGCTTCCAGTCACTTTCAATTCTCAAGGTTCTGAGTGGACCAAGACAGGACTTAGCGAGGACCCTTCGGGGCTACCTGTGTACTAGGAGATGACCCGACGCTTCTGCTGAACATTGCGCAATCATTTCAGCTGTTAAATTATTCATTTTAAAATTAAATTCTTACCAAAGAATCGGAGAGTAGGTGTCACACGTGGGTTGAAGAATTCGGCTTCACATCCTCCCCCCCTTTTCCTAGGTTGTTGGACTGGAGCATGAACGCAACGCTGGTGGCCCGACAGGACTTGAGCACGGTTTTCGGAGTGATGTGCGGGCATCCACTTGGGCATTTCATGGCCTGGAGACACCTCAGGCTCAACTGGGACTGGTACTCGAAGGAGATCGGGGGAGACACCCTCGGGCGCATCCTTTACTACATCATCTCAGTTTTCAACACGAAATTCGACGTTCTGGAGGTGGGTTCGAGAATGTGGAAAGATCGCTCACATTGTGGGGGAAATATCCATTAAGATTTTATGATCATGGAAGAAAGACTCTGGAGAGAAGAAAATAAGTAGATTCTGCTCACAATGGTTTTCCTTTCCCAACTGAAGACAATGAAGAAATTCTACGGCAGAATAATATTTTACGCAATCATTCTTCAAACTAGTGCAACTAACAGATGCACGTTGCAGGTACGTTGGTGGGAAAAAAATGCAGACGAATCCAAGAGATTATGGCCCCAAACATTTTCGTCCTGGGACAGAATGGTCCTAAATATAATATTGTGACAGCTGAAATAAACGTTAAAAAGAGCATGTTAGATACTATTGAGCTCGGTACTAGTTATTTTTATAATCAACGGGAAGAAAAAAGTTAAATAAATATGGATTAAATTATAGTTTCTCTGAGTAGCCCAAGACGAGTTTTCATACACTTACGTAACTATATGCTTACGTATAAACACTTGACAGTGACAGTTGTCTACTGATAAGCGTATTTATGTAAGTTTATTGTAGCTCTCAGCCGATGACCGATGACTTGCAAGCAAGGGTCAAGCCAAAAATGTTCATTGTCATTGCATCCACGACCAAAACGACAACGCAAAAAAGAGGGAGTGGGAAGAGGAGGGAGGATTGGGGGTGCTAATCCGAGGAGAGGGGTGCTAATCCGGGGAAAGGGATGAGGAGGAAGGGGGAAAGTAAAGGTGAATGAAGGAAATCATCCGCCTTTAATGCTCCTAAATGTCTTGGATTCTTTCTGGCACGCCTGAAATGATGGGAGGGGAAGAGGGGAACGCCTTGCTACTCTGCCCCTGTTTAAAATTCAAGTTCATTATAAGAACATGTTTAGAAAGTTATATTGAGTAATTATATGTCCCAAATCAATAACTGTAACCAATGATTGATTTCAGGATGTTGTTAATGCCTTTTTATTTTTTTAATAGCTCTATTACTCTATTTAAGAGCAAATTGGCCAGAACCATTTTGTCCGTAAACCTTGCTGTCTGGCGATGAGAAACTGTCGAGAAGCACGGTCTCACACAACATTTACGATGCCGTGGCATACATTTCATTTCTATGCGATTCTTCCGCACGTATGGACGCCGCTGGAAAAAAAAAAAAAAAAAACATTGTTGAGCTGGAAAGGATTTGGAATGAAGCGATTTTATTTCCACTGATTTGCTTTGCAGGCAAAATTATTCTTCAGGGGGAAGGACCTAGGAGAAGGATACAGGCGATACGAGCATGCACTGGAGAAGGCAAACCTGCACATCTGGTGGCTGAAGACGCACGTTGCCAATCTCATCTCGTGGCTCAACTCGCGACGATCGTGATCCTACATCGGCGACTCCCTGTATTTTTTGTCTATCGTGTCGAACACGGAATAAAAGGAAAGTTTCGCTGGTCTACGTGTGGACAGTTGTGTATCCATTTCCAGGATTTTTCTCTTCCACCTCATGCCCCAGGGAAGGACGAAACGAAGAAAACTGACAGACAGGATTCCTCATTTCCTCGAAGGCTCAAGGTCGGCCAGGGGATTAAAAGCAGCTGTCTTCAAAACAACGTCACCCGCTTCGGAGACAGCTGTAGACGATTACGATGAGCTAAGATTGTGTAGATAGTCTTTCCTCATATTTGGGGTTTTCTTCCAGTGAATCGATAAGATTGCTTCGTTAGCATGGTGCATTCCTGAACACGCCATTGATCGAGACGGGGAGGGGGGGTTTCCCTTTCTAAACCGCCTGACCGTGGAGGCTCAGGTATAAACAGCCTCACGGTTTCCCTTTCTATGGGAGGGCATAGAGTAGAGAAGGTGCGACCGGCTCCAAAAACAGGTTCGGGATATCCACCCTCGCGTCCACCTACAGACACATATACAACGTGGTGAAAAAATCCAGCTCAGACTGCGCAACACGCGAGATTGTACCGATGCCTCCAAGCAGCTTCGGGATGACAGGATTTACCAGATTCTAGCCTAGGTCAGAATGTACTAATTTTATAATTTTCTTGAGTAAACGAAATGTGAGGGTCTTCGAGTTTCCTACCTTGGTTACAATAGGTACTTACAAAGGAAAGCTCATACAAAGGATTCTAATAAGCCTACGGAATAACTTGATGGGCTCGATTTACTTTCGTAATCTATCTCTGTTCTTGGATCACGCTATCTTAGTTCGCTTTACAAAGAACTGAACGAAGGCCGTGAAAAGAATTTAAATGAAATGAACAAAAGACTAAGTGGAATGGAATCGAGTGAGGAATAAGCAGGAATGAACAGGAAAGAAGAGAGAAGCCCGTAGGGTTATTTTTGGGTGTTACCGTAGCCACTCAGCTGGTGACCCACATCCCCACCGACCAATCCGGAGCTTCCGAGCCGGTGACGTCACGCCCCGGGCGATGGAGTGGGCAGAGGTTCTGATGCGGGCAGGAGTGGTAGCCGCAGTTCACCTCTGCACCTCTAGCCGGTCGTGTCTGTCTCTTCGGGTTCCACCAACTATCATTCGTTCGCGTCTCCCACCCATTGGGCGATGTGAAACGGCAAAGTGACGGTGAAGTGTCGGAGTGAGTCTGTGATCGGGACGGGAATCATATTCCGAGTTGCGATGCTGTGTGGATGCTGACCCAAGATGATGGTGTCCTTAGTCTCGCTCTTTCTTCTCTCTCTCATCGCTTCTCCCACCTTCTCTCAAGGTACGGCGATGTTTCAGACTCGCTTTTTCCAAGAACCGAGTGCCCCTTGTGCCCGTAAGGCCAATGCCTGAAGGCATAAGAGGTATCGTTGAAACACGTCCTTCACTAAGGAACAGTCAGGGACGCCGAGTGAGAACCTGTTTAGTCGCAAAAAAGGGGCTAATATAGATATTTGTTTTACTTTGTATGCGTGGCCGGGTTTTACGGATGGATAACGTTAGTATTTACTGCGGGGGAATCGATCATGACGTAATCGTTGGCATGTAGGTCATCCCCAGGGGATCTATTGCTCAAGACTCAAGTTCACCTTGATATCTGCTTTCCTTTTTGCTTTACTTCATTTCGACCTTGATGGTCGGACTTTAGCAGTACGACCAGGATTTTCGTGAGCACCCGTCTGATCGTGATGCCTTTTTGACCTTGACGGAGGTACGAGAACCGCTCGAAAGTGAGAGTTCGGCCCGGTTCTACCGATTCATGCTGATACGTCACTGACGTAACTTCGCTATTTAAATTCCGATTCTCTCGACGTCCTTGTCGAGATGAAAAATGACAAGCGTAAGATTTGTAGCAAAAGAATTAATGGGACGTGCACGGAACGAATGGAAGCATGCGTTTCCTTTCAAGGCGACACGTCCGTAATGGGCCCCGTTTGATGGCTTCCCTGGATTCCATGGTGAAAATGGCCTCAGAGAAAGGAAGGGAGGGGGGAGATTTCGTCATATTCGCAGATAAATCGCCACCGCCCTTACATCATTTCTGGAATCGTCTGGAAACCTTCCCAGGCTTTTTTATTTTTCTTTCAACAACGCCCACGCGGAAAAAGGAAAGAGGGGGAGAAAAACGGAAACCAGGATATCGTTGCATCATCGATTTCTCCTCCGGAAGTTCTTCAAGGTCGATTCAAACTCGGGAAAGGGGACTAAAGGATTATTCCGCTAATGTAATGCCCTTGAACGTCGTCAAGGGTGTGGTCAGCTCTTTCATCGATCTATCTTAAAGGGCAAGGCCGGCCCCAGACCAGTTCCTGGTCCCAAGGAACCCCTGGGATAAAAAAAAAAATAATAAATTCCTTTTGGGATAATGGGACCCGAGATTGGGAACGCTCGACGATGTCTTAATCCCCCGCTTCTTAATCTTAATCTCGCTGCTATGCGTGCTATGGAATGCGTGGATCGTTTTTAATTGATTCGCATGCCAGTCTTAACTGCGAGAAAGTGACCTTAATGTGTGGGAAAGTAAGTTATTGTATTGCTGATAATGGATGCAAATAACCGCATTCTCCAGCGAGGCTCACAAAGACATAAAGCATTTTGGCGCGAGATGATTGTGACCCTGCCAGCTATTACGACTGCACGTGGTCACGAATATTTTTTATTATTAATGTAAATGGACCCCATCATTAATTGTGCCTACACGGGCGTGAAGCGTCGGGAATTTGAGCTTCGATGAAGTACGTGGGCGTTTGTGGTGTTGGCCAGCGATCAAACCCCCGAGGTCATTCATTCCCCGTTCGTATTCATCACTTTCTTTGCCAGCCCTTCTGAAAATTCCTCGGAACCCAGGAGTCGGTCATTTCCGAAACAGGAGACGCGTCGGGGTGGGTGGGCACCGTCGCCTATGCTTTTTTTTTCTACTCTGCTCCCATCATAGTGATAAAGGCAGGCTTTATGCGTTTGGAGTGGAAACTCTATAGAGCCATAAGGCTGTGGACCACCGGGGAGAAACCCTGGAACCGGAAGGTCCTTTTCGTGCCTGCGGGGCCAGGCATCTCGTGTATCTCGTCTACGATCCGCTTTTCCCTGCGTGCTTTCTGCATGACATGTGATGGCTACGTTGCATCAACACATTCGCTGCTGCCTTCAAGTTATCGCATTAAATGCTGTGTGCTACGGGAAATTAAAAAAAAACCTGCAAAATGCGTTTAAATTGTTTATTTAGATCGAAGAAATGGATAAAATCGTGACGCGTTAACACGTGAAGCTAGCACACTGCGAGAGTTAGGGCATGTGGTCTTTTCGCGTCATGCAGGGAGAGAATGGATTAATAGGCATCGGTCTCGAACCTTTTATGTTCGATGGTGTTAACACTTTCGCAACAGCAATTAGCACTTTCTGTATGGATATTATGGGACTGGCATTGATTACTTTTTAAAGATTTGTACATACTTGTATGGCGGACGTCACAGCGATGAGTAAGGCTGTTTTACTGCTGTTCCCACTAACGTAATTCCAGTAGTCATTTTTTCTCTCACGGAAAGCAAGGGACGTTTCCTGGCTTCTTATTTGTGAAGAAAGCACGTCAAGGCGGAGTTCTTCCGACAGCATCGCACAAGGGTCTATTAACGTCGAGCATAGAGCCAGGTGGTGATGAAAAATATCTGCGAGGGATCGTAACGTGTCCGGAAAGAATTTAGTGCCTGAAAGAGGCTCGGCAGTATAATTTTAGAAATTATACTTCAAACCGCATTTACTTACGAAAGCCATCTACTGTTGTCTCTGCGCGGTTACGTCATCTTCCGATAGGTTAAAGTCCATGTAGCCGGGGACTAGAAGCTGGTCCATCATCGAACGGACCGTAAACAGTTTCGCAAGCCCCCCATGGGGAGTCTCGTCCCCCTCTTTTCATTTGAGCACGGATGGCAACACGTGTCGCAAGAGGGGGGGGGGGGCCGTGTCGTCGATTAAAGGCTCTCCCTTCTCACGTTTAATTGCTGCCGATGGCGGTTTCTTTCGAGGGTGACCTTGGGATCACCCGAGATGACCATCATGGCTTCATCTACGGCTTTTCCCCATTCGAGAAAATCCGAGGGAGGGATCTATCTTTCGTCGAAGAGGGGGAAGCCATTGCTTCCCGAAAGTCTCGCTGCAGCGACAGATAGGAAGGCGCTTTTTCCTTAGAGGGATCATAGGCGTAGACCGTCTGAATTATACCGTTTTGAGATCGCGATAAGGAGGCACGGCCCGATGGGCGCCGCGATCTCACGCATGAGTTCCTTCGCAATCGATGCAGCGAGGAAGCACGAGGAAGTACGATGAAGCCCCGAAGATTCGGAGCAGTCGGCACCGCCGCTGATGCAATCCGCGTTGAGGTCTCTCGCACGCGTGGGATCCCGGCGTTGAGGTCTCCCTCAGCACACAATTCCCACCGGTCGAAAGAACCTCGGCGAGGCAAAAGGGTTTTTTTCCTCGTTCGTTGCATCATCGGAGGAGCGGCGGCAGGGCCGGCCGTGCTCCGTTAGCCACACATTCCACTCCACGCTCTCCTCCCTTTAAAAGCACCGATTTATTTTCCACTCCACACGTTTTTTCGGTCCCTTTACCGCAGTTTGTTTTCCTCTCCACTTCGCTCGTCGACCTTGTTCCTCGTCGACTCGCGCTACGGGATGTCGTGGGAGCCGAAAGTTGACCTTCAAAGGCATCGTCAGAGGTTTAAAAAATACTTCCAGAGTGTTATCTGTAATCCAGAATCCACGTTTTATTTTTATGTTAATGTCAAATCTAAATGAAGGACGTGCGTGGAGTGAATCTGGTAATATAATTTAATTAAATTGATGGATGAATTAAAATTTAATTAAGTATTTTTAACCGCGAAGAAACTCTGCATGATGTCCTAAAGGCGTGTGACTTTCTATCGCCAGAGAGAATTACGCTGTTGCACCAACTTTTCCTCGAGACGTTGAGGGTCATAAACGCCCAGAAGGGTTTTTGCGGTGCGTGAACGCGGCGTGACGAGTCGCCTCCCGTTCCGTAATGAAGTCGCCGCGATAATGAATAAAAAAAAGAATCCTACTAAAAATCAAAACCACCTTTCACTCTCCCGGAGGAGGAAGTGAAGGGATTTTTCTTTCATTGGGTTTTCTTGAGTTTTTATGGGGCATGAGTGTGCGGAATTTTTCCCATGGTCCGTCATATTTTCCCCAAACAAACGCGCGTGTTCGCACGTCTTCCGTGATGGACCATCGACGTCTTGCATCACGACCCGAGGAAAAATAAAAAAAATCCGATTCCACTTTTTTTTCCGGGTCTTCCGGCTCTGATTGGTTCTATTCGCGTTTTCGCGGGGAATGATGCGGCGTTTTTCTCTGGTTTCCTCGATTGTTAGCAGGAAGGGTGTCGTCGGTCCGAAAACCCCATTCCTGGGTCCATTATCGTGATGTGACCACCGGTGACCACAGGTGCGGCCGTGCGCCACATCCCCGTCCCTCATCTCGTGAAAGTAATTATGAGGATTTTCATCGGCAGGAAATTCCGAGGGAATCGGCGTCGAGGAGCGAAAGAGACTCGGCCTCGATCCCGGCCCCGATCCCGACCTCGATCCTCGACCGGGGGGCCCGCCCTCGCGATCCCCGTACGTGTCGCCTCGCGTCCACGTGGAAGGGAAAAAGAGGGAACGGAGCCAAGATGAAGTAATGTCTTTCCTTTGTTGGTCGTGCTTGTGCAAGCGGTGCGGAAAAGTACCCTTTATCGGCCCATCCATCATCGCCCCGTCCCGCCTGATCGAGTATCGCCCGGTGAAGGACGGACTCATCGAAAAGGAGGTTTTCGCGGCTGGGAGGTCGGACGGGAATCGACCGATTTCGTGCTCGGAATACGGGGGCGTGTTTCGCTTTTTTTTTTTACGGTGTCGAAAATGTTTGGGTTTGGATCGGAGTCGGTTCCCGCGTTAATTGGCTCTCTCTCGGGTCGGTCACGATTGGTTGCACCGTTTCATAAGAGAGGGAAACTCTTTCGGCGTTCTTTCACTTCCTCGACTTCACGATCTCGGGAAAAGCGTTCTGCCCGGGGTCGTTCGAAGTGGATTCCACGGTTTCCCTCTTAATGGGGGGAGGGGGGGGGGGGGGGGGGGGCGGTGTTTCCAGGTGGGGACAAAGGTGATCCGGTCGAATTTCCCAACTTCCCCGATTTGTTGCGCTTTGTTTGTCGCTGGAGTGGAAAGCGAGGGGAACGTGGGGGGCCGGTCGGATGGGTATGTCGGGTCTTCCGCCGAGCGCAATTAGTCTCACGGTTTCGCGGTGAGGGAGTCCTGGATTTCAAAAGGTAAGAGAAACGATCCGCGGCTTTCCATTTATTTTGCCGTAAAAGGGGGGCGGTGTTTCCAGGCGCTTTCGAGGGATCGAGATCCGTTCACCGTGTCGTCGGGACGAAAGCGGTCGGAGTTCCCAGGCCGCTTCTGGGGTCGGCGTTCGCGACGGGGTGAAAGCCGAGGCGATCGATTTCCCGGCCACGGCGGCGTGAACACGGAAAAAAGGCTCGTCCGAGTTTTGTGCCTGGCACGGGGAAGCGTTTCGCTTTCGGTTTTCCCGCTTCATCGACGATGAAGTCGGGAACCCGTGACGGAGGAGTCTTTCTCCTCCGGAGCTGACGTAATTCCCCGAGCATCGCGCGATGGATGTCACGTCACCGGGGATGAGGATCGGATGAGGATTTGGTTTCTCGTATGTGCGATGGGGAGGGCTTGGACGCTTCCTCGTTCGTGGGCGTGACGGGGAGAGGCGGTCGTGCGGCGATTCCACGGTCCGCGTGCCCCCGTGGAATACGGCGTTTCTCGTTCGTTTCCCGCGAGGACGTGTTTCTTGCTTCGCGGGGTTTGCGAGAAGGAAGAGAGACCGATCACGCGCGTCCGTTTCCGCTGCAGGTGCTTTTACGAAAACGGCACTGCGTGCGGATGGAAACGTTTCCTACGGATCCTCGAAATCGCATCGAAACCGATCGCGAAATCTTGGAAGACCGGGGATTCGGTGGATTGCGATTCCGGCATCGGAATCGGACGGCGGCGGGTTCCGGAGCCGAATCGAGGAGATACGCCATTAGTGCGCCTCGAAAGCGAACCGAGGCCTTCGACCGAAGCGTGAAGTCCGAGTCGGATTCCCTCATTTAGTTAGTGGTGGGTGTGGCAAAGAGGCAGGAAGGGGCACCTGACGTAATGCGTCCGTTGTACGCGTCCCCGACGTGTCCCCGGCG